TGATAAATGCAGGTTGTAGGGCCCCCAATGTATCTTTCCTGGGGCCCCAGACTCTAGAATCGCCACTGCTAATGCAAACACAAAGGTTACAGTTACAGATTAGTTGAGATCAACTCATATGAAGAACAAAGTCACACGAAATGAAGCTGGACTTTGGGGAAATAAACAGCGATAGCCTCCTCATTCATTCATTGTCCCTTGGCCAACTCATTTCTTCCCCTCCTTCATCCCACTGCGTCCTCCTCATTGTCAGCCTGAGCTGTTGAGGTGGTGGGGTGACTCCAGCGCTCTCCCTTTCTCTCTGTAAGGACATTGCTTACCTCTTTCTCCAGTCCTGAGGACAGCTTTTTAATAAAGCGGGAATGAGCCAGGCTTTAAGTGCTTTATTTACATTTTGCCTTGCAGCTGGTGTAGTAATGTGTGCTGCTCAAATATTTATGGAGGACTCAGGGACATTGCTCTCTCACAGTTTCATCAGGGACAAAAGAGAGAGAGAAAGAGCGACAGTGGAGGATGGATTTCTAAATGTTGCTGTTATGAAAATAAAAGTCACTGATTTTTCTTCTCTACAACCTTTAGACATACTGTAATGTTGAACTTGTTGAAGGTTGATGCATAAGTTGTAGTTAAAAATGGCCGAAATAAATGTTATGATTCAAGTACCAACAAAAGGACAGCGCAAAAAAAGGACTATGAATCTAAACAGAGGCTATTTTAATCTATTTTTAAATAGTTATTCCTGATTCATATTGATTCACAAAATGTTACAAACAAGCCTGACTAGAAACCTTGGTGGATAAACGGACAATCTGGCGTCGAGTGGAAGACTGAGCCGGCTTTTACACTGTGGAGTGTGTCACATACACAGGACAAATGAGAAAACACACAGAGAGGGAAAATAGACTGGGATTCTCACACACTAAGTCATTTGATCAGGACTACTGTGATGGCTATGTACAAAACTACGTACAGCAAAGTGTCAATTTGTTTAACAAATTCAAAATCAGAGAGCAGTGGTGGGCAAGAGACATAGAAATGAAGTGAAGAAAGCTAGCATGGCCAATTTAAATGAAGTGGTAAAAAAAATACATTATTTTAATTAATAAACATGTCTATAGGGGGGCATCAGATAGCTTAGCGGGTGTGACGCACACAAATGCATATAAAGATGCCTGCATATAGAGACACCACCACAAACTTCAACTGGATTATAAGTGATAATTGAGATGTAATGTTTTAAGTATCATCAAACTAGACTCTGTGGGTTGTTTTACGTGGTCTCTAGTACTCTGAAACAACATATCCCACATGCATAGCACAACATCATCAGCGTAGAAGGAATTCCACAATTTTGTCACTTAAACTAATAATTTCCAGATCTGGGGTTCAATTTCAAAATCCCCCCATCTAAGTCTCTAAGAGAACAGGTAGCAATTTACACTCTCATCAGAGTTCAGTGTTCATTTGAAACTTAAGTACTGTTTGCAAACACTGTCAACGTTTGCTCCAAATGTAGAGGGACAGATGGCCCCTTTTGCTACTCCACAGGAAACACATTCATTTGCTTTCTCCAGACTTACTAAACAAACTTTGGCTTGTTTGCCAGTTTCCAAAATCCCTCCATCCATTATCTGTGGAAGAGTAAAAAGTTAGTCCACTGTTCAATGCCCGTGTTCAACCATCTGCTTCATCAGAGCCTGTAGAGGCTTGGCAGTTGGCAGCTAGCTCTGCCTCAGGCTAAATAACACTTCAGGGTAGACAGCTTATCAAGATGAATGAGGTTTAGTGGTAGGGATATGTGACCAACCAAGGAGAAAGTGGAAAACCTTTTTTTACACTTTTTACCTCAAGGTGAAAAGTTAAATTTTTTATGTACATTTTATTTCAAGGAAATATTTGTGAATTCATATTGTTTATGAAGAAAATGAGAAAGACGATGGGTCATAATTGGCACAACATTGAAATTAGAGAATTTGATCATTTTCAGACTTTGCACATCATGACTGCTGACTCTCAGAAATGACAACTTGTGCATGTTTATTTAATTTATTTGAGTCACCATCTCTGATTCAGCATGTGCCATCACATCACCGTCATCGTTTCTGACACCATCTTCCTTGTATTCTTCCTCTCTGCTCTTCTTGTCCTCCTTCACATTAACCCATATACACATCCACAGGTTTAGTAATACCCAAAGGTAATTTATATGCATTGAGTTAAATAATGCATGCAGACCTCCACTGAGTAAACAACAAAGTTATAAAATGCTTAAGCTGCTTTGGAAATGAAGCATTTTAATTTGCTGCTTTTGGAATTGGACTGGTAATTTAGCTATAATGGCATTGAGAAGGAATACATAGTTGGTAGAGTTTACATAAATTGTTTGCTGCTTTACCAGGATACTAAAGGGGCTCATAGAAGCTGTTAATATGCACGTTTGAATGGAAGCATGATTTTAATTGTACTTCTTCACAAATATCTCCCGTCGCCACTCACCCAAGCTGTGTGTTTTGCTATGTGGTGACTCCAGACTGGGCTCTGCTTGGTTCAGTTTGTTAATCTCCTTTTCCACTTCACAGACACTTTTGCATGTAAGCACACACACACACACACAAAAAAACACACACTTCATAATCTAGGGAGACAGACCAGAGTGCCAGTGTTTGAGGAATCAGCAAAACTGTGGTCCTTCTAAGTGGGGAAATAAAGAGGGGGCACAAGGTTTACCGCACCGTAAATGCCAATCAACTAATGTGTTCTGGCCAGGAAGGTGGTTGCCATGGAGATGTGTTGGTTAGTCAGCACCCACACACACTCACACATGCTTTTTTTTTTTAAAACCAAGCTTTAAGTAGGAACCTGTAGTCACAGTCCATGTCGGTATTCATCATTTGCCCATGTGCGGGTGTGGGCTTTGTGGCCGTGACCTCAGGGGTCAAGCTTTGGTTTGGAGCAGTGCTGTTTGGGCCGCAGGAGCTGTCAGGTTTGGAACAGTATGTTCCCCACAGCCAAATGGGTCAGGACCGCCGGGTCTCAGTCAGTGAGCCGGAAAAATACTCACACACAAGCATCACACACATAATTTCCCAGTAGACCCAATAGGAAGGGAGGGAAGTGCTTGTTTTGATCTCAGAAGGGAAGAACAATCAAGGGCCTTAGTGTTACAGTTGGATGGTTTCACACTAGGGACCTGGGCCAGATCTGAGTTTGGGTTGACCCCAAAGTCCAGTTCATTGATCAGTGTGAACACAAATACTGTACTCATACCATACTGGGGTTCCGTGCCGAGTCCGCTTGAAGATGCGGTCTCGGGCACAATTCATGTGTGCTCGAGTACGGACAATGTGAACGCACCCGTGCTCAAACAAGGAAGTGGACCGCTGTATGATGTAATTCTAAGCGGCCCCTGTCACTTCAAATACTGTTGTATCCGCACAGCACTGGCCTTTGTTGTCGTCTTAGCTGAACGGTCGATGGACAAGGATAGCCAAGTGGTTAAGTCGCACGTCCCATGTGCTGAGGCTACGGTCCTCGTTGCAGTGGCCGTGGGTCCCCTTCCTCCCCTCCTGGCACTTCCTGTATCTTTTCAGCTGTCCTATCGAATAGAGGCAAAAAGGCCCCAAAAAATATCTTTAATAAAATGACAGCAGGCTACTTTAAAGTTTAAAGGAACAATTGTGACACAGAATTGACCCACAATAAGTTGCAACTCAAATTATGAAGAGAAGAATTCTCCACTTCCAATAATCAAATATGACTTAAGGTCAGACATGAATGTTCACTGTAGAGCTCTCCTCATCGATTGCTCCCAGTAGACGGATAATGTAGGCAGTGGTTAGATGGTGTAGAGAAGTAGCCACTTGGTCCTATAATTGATTGATTAATGTTAAGTGCCTCTTTTGTTTGTTTGAATGCTACAGGTGCAAACGCTTGCTTACGGAGAATACTGTGGGCGTAACTGTGGGTTTTTTACAGATCAGATTACTAAAGAAGTGTAAAGAAAAAAGTCAATGTATTAAAAGAAGGATCATTTCAGGTGTAATTAACTTCATAGGTACAGAAATACAAAAGTGTGTGGGTCTCTATCATATTCCCTCCAACTCTCTCTCTCTTTTAGTCTTTCTCTCCTCCTGTCTCATGAGTTTCCAATCCAACCCCCCCCCCTCTGTTATCTGTGTTGGCAGGAGGTTTGAAACTGTAAATGAGATTATATGGAGGTGTTCCAAACTGTGACATCTGGCCCCTCTGGCCTGTCTTTAGCTCCAAAAGACAATCTGACACACGCATGCTGCACATTATGGCCCAGAAGATAATGCCAGATTACAGATAACTTGCTAAAAGGGGAAACAGACGCATGTGTATGCTTTCTGTTATTGGTCAAACAAAACATTTATTTGATAAACTGACGTTTAAATAGAACGTGTGAAATATGCTGTGCACTCACACAAAACGTTATCTCATTGAGTGCACTGTTCCGTAAAGCTGTTACTTCAGTCGAATACATTTTTAATTGTACTTTGAATTTCAAACATTGCTGTTAGGGGGGGATTGTGCAGCACATTGCAGGAAGTAAAAAGCCGATTAGAGATTCACAGTTAGCATCTTTGTTCGTCACTGTTGTTTATTGCTGAGACGTAATTAGCAGCTACATCGACTCTACTGCTGCTTTATTAAATTATTATCCGGAGGGACTAATTGTGCTTGTGGCTGGTGAAAACTTTTAACCCTCTATGACTCAGAGAGCATAGTAACTACTGTAATTAAGCCACAGCAGCCGGCCTGCTATTCAGAGTCACAGATGAATAGAAAGCCGAGGAGAATGAGGAGCGTCTTTCCTCAAGCTCCCAAATCAAAGTCACATCTCATCTGTGTGTGTGCAAAATCACCTTTATCTCTATTTTGCCTTTAATTTCCTGTTTGACTGCTGCAGTTCGCCATCTGATGCCAGTTACGCCTCCGCCCTTTAAAAACCTGGAATTATCTTGATCTTGATGTTGCAGATGGAGCCCCGCTGAGCGAGCTGTCATGGCCTTCATCCCTGGCGGTGGTGGCTGTCTCCTTCTCCGGCCTCTTCACCTTTGTCTTCCTCATGCTGGCCTGCCTCTGCTGCAAGAAGGGAGACATGGGCTTCAAGGTGAGCTCACTCCTGCCCCCTGCTGGAAGTGGTGAGAGGTGAACATACTGAGCATGCACAGTGTATGACACAGGAAGGAGGGGAACTGAGTCAGTGTTACTTCTGAAACCAGCAGAAAAGGACTAGTTTCATTTCTGTAAATTTAAAATGTGCATTGCCAGCAATGCAACACAACATAGGCACATGACAAAAATAATTTAAGAGACCACACTTAGTGTTCATAAACTGCTGTTTAACTTCTGTTCAGTGAATTACAGATATTAATGGTTCAACTAAGTCGGGCTGTAGATGATATTAATTCCTGAAAAGTTCAGTAATGCCCTGATTTTTGTCTACATGCATCCTTAAGTCTGCATTCATTTCCACCACTTAAAATGATATTGTTGTTATTATATATTATTACCCTGTCACACACACATTTGTACAATGATGGCAGAGGTAGCTATAAGCAAAGAGCCATGCCCCCGTCAGTGCTGATCTCATCATTCACACACATTTTTTTTATTACTTTCTTGCAGGTTTTAAATCTAGATGTTATCACATTAAATCAATAATTTAACTCATCTTGCCACATTTATGCATTTTTTTAAGATTAACTGCAAAATGAAGGAATAGAAAGTAAAGATAGAGGATGACAGAAAAACGGGTCAAAGTTTAAAAAACACAAAAACAAAGCAATACATAAGAAAAAGGAAAAAGAAAAGGTCAGAGAGGAGGGCGTTTTGTCTGTTCTCTCTCAGTTTGAATTCATTTATTTACATTTTACTAATCCCCTTGACCCATTTCCTTTCCTTTCCAGTTTCTTATGAACTCCTCGTCTCTCTTTCTCAACCTATGAGTGATTATTTACATTTCTTCAATTTCTTCAACTACTGACTAAGCATTGCAGATGCTGATTTAACATCCACCCAGCTCTTCCTGCGATTTGCTTTAATGGAGCAGCATCGTATACCAACATATATCCCTGATTGGAGGATTCCTCAAATAGTATTGGCTGGCAGTAACCGTTATTGAGTTAAATATATTAGTTTTGGTTTAGTTGTGGTTATTTAGTCAGTTTCATTAAGATAATCTCTCTAAGGAGAAGTTAGCATCACCATTGTATTCACGATTCAGTATTGATCTACCCAGCTCCAAACTTTGCATTTACTGTAAATGTTCAAGACTTTTGCTGAGAACTTTTACCTCATTATATGCAAGTGCTGCAGCCAAAAACCCCTTACCCAGCCTGGCACACATTGTCTTTGTGTCGCCTTTAGCTGCCAGCATGACTCAGCCCTGCTGTGTCAAACATCAGCGCTGAACTGAAGCGGCTGATGAGGGCGACCACAGCCTGACACAGGCAGGGGGCATATGACGAGCGAGCTAGCGAGAGAGAGAGAGAGAGAGATAGGGAGGGGAAACTCTAGAGTCGCTGTGCTTTCTTCTCCTTGTCGCTACTAGCTCCCCATTGTTGAACAGCTACTCATTCTGTGGCGTTAGCATCAAAACATGGTTTCATGTTTGTCATGCTTCTTAATGTCTCTAATTCTTCAAGCTCCAGGATGGATAAATAACAGCCCCGACTGAACAGCAAAGACTTCTGTTAAGATTACTTATGCAAATTCGAATCCACAATATTCCTCGCCCCCATAATTCCTTGCATGAATCATGGGGGAACAGAATAATGTGCATAGAGTTAAATGAAAACCATATTTGGCTTTTTTTGTTGATGATCAGAGAGCCACAGAAAGCAGAGGAGGGGGGGGGGAGAGCGGAGCAGATTGTTTTCTTATCTATGTATGTGGTGAGAGTGGGGTCTGTGCTTCAGCATTCATACTGAACAGCGTGTGGTAGGTATAGAGGCTGCAGGGATAACAGTGTCGCTAATGAGCACAGCAAAGAAAGGCACCATTATCAACTTTTTGACTTTTCTTACTCGGTGCCCACATCTCTTTCTAAAGCAAGATCTCCTCTGCCTTATTACTTGAATCTGTACTGTTAAAACATGTTGAAACAGTGCAAGGCAAGGTCTGTGTCTCGCTCGGATTGACCGCCTTTTTACTGTGATGGCAAATAGGACGATAGTTGACTCATTTTGAAATATTAAACTGTGGCTCTGCCTGAAGCCTGGTTGGCATATCGATATGAAACTCTTGATTTCTGCAGAGATATTGAAAATATAGTAAAGCTGCCCTTGAAGCTGTTAGACTCAATGTCTAATGAAGGGGACACGTATGCAGGGAAGAGTTGTGCTAAACACACCTACTATACTGTTCTAGCATATATGTTATTGTAACTTGACTCACCTTTAAATACAGCATTTTTGAGACCCTGCATATTACTAACTCCCTCTAAAATCATTGGACAAATACAGCAGAGCTTGAGTCTATGAGCTCGAGCTATAAGTTTATAACTCTCTTGAATGTTATGAATAAGTTGAACAAAATAACAGGGGGAGACTGAAGAGCTCTAACGATGAGCCTGATGTTACTTAAACCTGAAATGTGGGGGTCATTCTCTATATAACAGTAGCTGTGCCCTAATTACAGAGAAGACATGTAGGTACGATGGTAAGTGTATTTTAAACGTCAAACTTTGAAGTGATCAGATCCTCATCTTTGGCAGCAAACATCACAGATTGGTTTCACAGTTTCCCACTCTTTCCCCGCGCCTCTTTGGCACCAGCTCGTCACTCAACAGCTCACTTGTAAGGTGTGCATTGGTGTGGGACTGCAAAAACCGCACCGCTGCGCCGTCCAAAAAGCTTCATTATTCCCCCCCATCTCCGTGCTCTTACTGGAGCGCGGAGTGCGAGGCCGGGTATTAAGTGCTTTCTAAACTGAAGGCTCTCTGGGGAGCTATGCAACGCTGACTCACGGCCAGGTGCTCGCTTTCACACTCGGCTCTGAGGAGAGTGGCAGATGGTTCTGCTGAATGAGAAGCACACTTGCACACATTCCTATATACACACACTAGTGTTTAAGGACACGTGTAAATACACACAAACACACAAACAAAAAGCCATTCAGATATTTCATATAAATCCAGCCTCTTGTGCACTTTCCTCCCTTCTTTCTTTTCCTCCTAGTTTCTCCTCACTTTGTCCTCCTCTTTTTACCTCTATCGTTGCTGAAAGTAGAAGATAGGCTTGTTATGGTAAACAGTCCTTTAACCAGCGGAGAAATGGATGGATGGAAGGCTGCATGATTCGGCCCTTGTGACTGTAGCCTGATGCAGCATTATGAGCATATAGCCACATTCTTCCAAATTGCTAACAAGATCGATATGAATTGCTGAAGGATGCTACTTCATGTGAAGAGAGCACATGAAGACAAGACCGGGCTCTGATTTATGGTTCTGCTACATTTAATAAAAACACAGGGGACAACCTGATTCAAGAGGTTGTGTTATTCAGTAAGTGGACGCAGTGCTTTTGAGATTGTGATCGCTTAAAGCTCATGTGAGGAACTTCCCTGTTTGTGTGGAATTTGGCGCCCCCCTGTGGACAAAAATCTCTGAATCTCTTGGCTGATCTTGTCCTGTACACGTTCAAGTAGTGTGTTCTGATGAAAAATCACTTCCTGCTATTTTTGAACTGTCAAATGTGTCACTCATTGTAGTTATTTACAACGTAGAAGATAAAATGAAAGACTGTTTTTACAGTGTGCTGTAAATCCTCTTTTCTGACACCTACCCTGTGGCAGTGGTTACAAGCATTAAAAAACAGCAATATAGAAATAGTCAGTTGTGTTGCTGATGTTCTTGTTTGCTTTTGTAGGTCTTAAAAAGGCATCACTAATTATTTTAGCCGGTTTTATAACCTTTTAGAAACTCCTCACAGGGGCTTTAAGTTCCTATTTACCACATGCCTTTTAGTTGGAATAAACCTTTGCAAATGACTTACTGCATTATATTTTACTGGTTATTTTATGTTGCAACAAAGATTATCTATTACTAGTTTATTATCATTATTATCATTGTACAGAGTGTTAGGACCATAAACTGTATAAAAGTGTCAATTGCATCAACCTGGTTTCTGAAGAGGCGTTATGAAGCCCCATATTGACAGTCCCCAGGTTTTAAAGTCTGTCTCAAACTAACTTTAGAACAATCTAGTAAAAGGCAAAGAGGGGGAGTTGAGGCAGGCCTTAAGCCACTTGGCAAGCAGCTATAACAACTCCACCTGTCAGTCATCTGAGCCACGCCCCTAATTATGCAACCGCATTTTAGGCTTAAATAAATCAAAACAGATGAATTATTTATTCACCCCTTGTACAGTGTGAACCTCTAAGGAAGTGATCAAGAGAGACCACATTTGTTTCATGAACCAGGCTGTAAACGTGTTTATTTCTGCTGGAAAAAAAAAAATAGTTGTTTTAATATGGAAGCTCATGAGGATTCCTAGGCAATTAAAATCAGCCTCAAGTGGACACTTGAGGAACTGCAGTAGTCTACACTTTCACATTTTTCATCACTGGAGGTTGGGGCTTGAGTTAGACTTGTTGTCGTTCATAAGAGACAGTTGGGACTCTAATATGAGATTGAAATCCTGTGTGTCATAATTGTATGCTTTTTCTGTTAAATACTGACGATAATTTAGAAGAATGTATTTTTTTTCATTGCATAGATAAACGTGTTTTTTGTGTTTCATGTTTTACGAGATTAATAAGGGGTACTGTTAGAAAAAAAAAACATCTAGTGGGAAAGAATTTAATGTTATTGAAACAAATCTTTGTGAATCATTTGAAGCTCTGTTCTATAAAACAATCTTAATATATCGACTACATGTGAGTGTGTAACAGTCCGCAGTGCTGACATGAGGACAATCTGTGGCATGCTGCAATTTTAGTTCAAATCCTGTTGTTTTTTTTAGGTGTAGAGTACAGCCACACGTGTGCTATTAATAGTGTGTTTCTGCTGACACGTCTTCCAGGAATAAAGGGAATAGATTCTGAAAAATATTTCCAGAAGGTACTGCCATCTCATGCAACATAATTCACTCCTACTTCCAGCCCAGAGTGAGTAAAGCTTTAGACAAATATCTCAAGGACTAAAAGGAAAACACATAAATATACAATTATGCCATAAAAAATGGAATATGTAGGAGTCTCTTATATTGGCTAATTGTGTTGTTTACTCATAGAAATCTTGACTCAGCCTGACAACACTATGTTTATCTACCTTGTGATCTGCCTCATGCTGCAGATTATGCAATTTGTCTAATGCAATGTTAATATCCTTGTTTCCTTTGGCTGTGTATCTTCCACTTCTCTGCTGTTTTTATACTAGCATTTATGCACAGAAAGTTGACCCCTTTCTTGGTTTTTAAAAGCAAAATAATATCTATTTTGGAAAGTGACGACTGATCAAAATAGGAGCCAACATGTGGAGGAGATGAAGGAGAAAGCAAGTCTTCTCTCAAACAATCAAATATGTCTGCTTCCTACTGTTTTGTTTGACGCATTTATGTACGTATAAGTGTTACAACATACATTTTTTATACATACAGGGGTTTGGAGAGGCTGGGTGCTACAGGGAACACTACAAAGATTAGGGTGCAAGGACACTGCAGTGGCGCAACGATGGATGGGTGCAGAAAGAAGGGTAACAAGGAGACAGAGCAGAGGATGTGGTGATGTGATAGGGTCACTGTTTTCCGCTGCCTCTTCTCCTCCTCCATATCACTAGGAGGGGCGAGGGGGTTTAAGTGACTAGAGTTTTTGTTCTGCCCAGCTGAAGATAGTTACAACTTTTCTTGTTCTTATTTTAGAAAGTAAACCAAATTCACTTTCTACAATGCAATGCAGAAGATTAATCATCAGCAGTCTAGGATTTTGAATCAGCATCTTGGAGGAAACGTTTCACAGAAAGTTCTGGTAAAAAGATGATCAGCCATCACAGAGAATAACAGCTCTTTAGTGCATTTGTCCAACATTCAGCTTTAATGAATCATCATTGTTCAATTAAAAAAAAAAACCCTTAAAGGCGCACTGTGTAGTTTTGGTAGAGAAATGTGGAATTTTGAGAAATGTAAAGATTTTGTGGGATATGTTCATAACTCTATACACAAACTGTTCTCAGAGGAAAATTTGTCCCTGTAACACTGTTTGAAGATAAAATGCTACGCGAGAAGTTGTGGTGGGGGGCCGCAACAGGGAAACCGTAACTCTCCGGGTAGCTTTGTATTTCCAAACAGTGTTCAAGGGACCCATTGTTTCTTTTGAAATTTTTTTGTGTATTTAGTTCAGAAAATATAGTATGGAATTGTTTAACTTCTCCAACTTAAAAAATGTCACTACCAAATATTTTTTTTTTTTTTTTTTGCAAACGTCACAGACAAATTCAAAATAATCAGAGCAGTGTTTGACTCTGATGCTCCGTTCTCCTTTCTGCTCAGCAGTGTGTCCTTTATCCCTCATTTGCTGATACTGTGAATACATACAATAACATGTAGCATTGATAGTAAGACAAGAACTGTCATCATAGTGTTGGATTGTTGCTTTGTCCGCCCTTTATACGTCATGTCCTGCCTCCTTAAACCTCCCCTCTTCTGACCGACAGTGAAAGTGTCCTGCTGTGCATGTGTGAACAGGCAACTTAGGAAGACTTCAGGGACAGCCTAAAGTTTTCTTGGAATTTTCTGGAGTGCATGTGTAAAAAAAAAGGCTATAGTGTGTATTGGGGGGGAAGAAAGAAAATAAAGAAAGTCTTTGTGTATAAGCTCTGAACACATGCATTAGTGTGTTTCCCCCTACAGCGCCTTTGCAGTCACCCACACAATACACCCACACAATGTACATGACTTATGTATACGGCTAGGTGGGCGTGCCTCGCCGCATTTGAGTGCCTTCACAGTTGCGCCATTGTCTCTCACTATTGCAGAGTAGGATGGTTTGGAGGGAGCGGATGACTAATCCCAGCATGTTTCTTTGCACCAGGAGTTTGAAAACACCGAGGGAGAGGAGTACCAGGCAGATCTCTCCGCCCTGGCCTCGCCTTCCTCCCAGAATGGCCCCGAGGTCTACATCCTTCCCCTCACTGAGGTCTCCCTGCCTGTCTCCAAACAGCCTGGCAGATCCAGTAAGGAACCACACAACACCATCATATTAATTATAGAAACACCTCCAAGTTAAACGGTCTTGAACTTTTAATGACTTGTTTTCAGTTGCTTCCTGGTGTTTTTTTTTCATTTCTTCTTTTTTTCTACTCCACCCTTTTTCTCTCTTCTTCTTTATTTGCTCTGTTTCATATCTCAAGAGTGAATTCCTGCCGCAGCTAAGGTTGTCCATCTCTGGGGGCATAGCACAAGTGGATTATGAACTACTGTAGTTATTGGCTCAAAAAGCATGCAAAATTTTTGAACCTCCGTTGGAACAGATGTGGCCTCTTCGATCTTGCCTTACACGTCCTTTTTCTTGGTTCCCACACTCATGAGAGACAGACATCTGTCCATTGTGTAATGTATTTAGGATTGGCCTACTGCAGTGCTGCGATGTATACTGTGTGTGAAAACTGCAGCCCACTGCAGAGGAAGGAATCCGACCTAACCCTAGTGTTTATTACTACATGTACATACTTTAGGGGCTCTGTGAGTGTTCCGCAATACAATCACAATCCCTAAAAAAAAAAATGGCTGGCTGTGATCTTGGGGCCCTCAGATGGCCCTACATTAAAATCTGACAAAATATGCAGTAGATATCTCTGCATGGGCTCATGGATGCAGCTGCCTTCTCTGGTTCTGAGCTTATTTAAAATGGACTGAGGCGAGGTGGAAAACAATCCTGAGGTCTGATAAATCCAGATGAGATTTTCTTTCCCAGACGTCCCATTCTCTGTGCTCAAGAGGAGAGGGACCATTTAGCTTGTTTTCAGTGTGTACGGTTCAAAAGCCAGCATCTGTTAAGGTTGTGAGGGTGCATTAGATAGGTAACCTGCAGATTTGTAAAGGCACCAATAATTCTAGGCAACATTAGTTTTGTAGCAATATATTCTGCCAAACAGACAAATTAGGCATTGCTTATTTCGGCAAGACGATGCCAAACCACATTCTTGAGGTATGAGAACAGCATGGCTTCATTCTTTGCTGGAATCAAATTTAGAATGGGCACATCATTTACCAAAAACAATGACATTTCTCAGATTCCACATTTACCTGTACGAACCATGGTTGTATACTGCTTTGATTTGTCATAAACTCAGATTAATTATCTTTAGAAAATAAGCCTTTTATCTTGAGTTAATAAAATAAGACTGTTTCCTTTTATGACTTATGATGCACCTACAGAGATTAGAGTATTATGTTGTCTAGCTTCCACTGATGGACTTGGGCTGAAAATAGAATAACAAGCTGTAACTATACTGATCAGTGCAACAAACTATGATTCAATCACTGTTCTGTGACGAGTGTTCCCTGAGAATCATGACAATAACCTTGAAGGCTGAAATCAAATGTACAAACCAAACACTCATTTCCAAATTCTTAAGAATGATCTTTTACTCCTAGAAAATCAACTATGTATTCCTTTCCATTCTGGTAATCTTCTGAAATCTGCCTTCTTTCTATTGAAACAACGCTACTATAGCAGTTTATCATATGATAAAAAGATTCATCTTGAGATATCAAAATATGTATCTGAACACCTTGAAGTAAGGTAATTGCATTAAAAAGGTAAATACACAGCTGTGCTTGGCTTCTGTATGAACCTCATATGACATGTTGCTATTTTTACTGAATCTTACATAATCCAACCTCAATACTTCAGCACACGCTCGAAACATATTGCTTAATTTGTTTTCTACATCCATGATCCTTCCCTAGCAATGTCACAGCCTGTTGTTTCTCTCTTCAGGTCATTCTACCTCAAACATAGCCTTTTAAAAAATGTCTTTTGTACTTGTTTGTGTGGAACTCAGTGTGAGTCGTTTCCTGGGTGCTCTCTCTGCCTCTCCCTGCATGACTCACTGGCTGTCTGCGCAGCGCTGTGCTCAGCCAGAAGGGAGGCGAGTTTGGGGCTCAGCATCCTAGTATGCAAGCTTCAGCGAATGATTGGACGCGGCATCCTCGGAGCTGTCAGCCAATCGCTATCCTCCCCTCTGTCCTCCGTAGCTACGGCTGTGTGATTGGTCCAGGTGTTGCAGGGCGAGGAAGGGGTACATGGTGAAAGGCGATTGTGGAAGAGGAAGGATGTCTGGGGTTTTTTTCTCGGAGTCAGAAAGAGAATTGTATCTCATTCTGTTTTTTTTAATGCAAATAAAACATGCTATATTGTTACATGTCTTCATGTAGATTTGTTTATTTTGCATACTTAATGAGTACGTTTTTGCAGCCTAGATAGAAAGAATTTGGAAGCCTTTGTATTGCATTGATTATCTGACAGATAAAAAATGCAACTATTGCAAAGTTTATGTCAGACAATGGCATATATTAAAAGCATTACATCAATACGCTTTAGGTCAAGGACTGAACAGGCCTCTCAATCCAAATTAGCATCATCACCACGTCATAAATCAGCCACCCTCACCCTCACACGAGGAAAACAAGCGTAGTAACTGAACGTTGAACAGAAACACCAATGATAGAGTTAATACTCCACCCATGAATGGTGTGTTCTATACATGCGCAGCATCGATTGAACACCCGTATGAACACACGGCACAACGTTGCCATTCATCTGACAGTCAAGCTTTTCACTTGTTGCTCTAATCTTTTATTCAGGAGGTCATGTAAAGCTTTCATGCCCACCACAAGGGCGCCGTGCTTCAAAGTGAAGCGATTGTGTCCGCCGATCATTCCGCCGATCCCACTGTGTCAGTGTGAGCGTCCATTTTCTCTGGCAATGCCACGAGTGGGACGGGAATGCACACTCACACATTCCACATTTGGAATAATACCACTTCTTAATTTCACTCTGTTAGGGAGGGGTCGTGGGGGGGGTTGTGGTGTGGAGAAGTGTGGTTCTGTTATCATCGTGACAACCTCTGTCCAAGTGTTCCAGAGGAGAGAATGGGCCTTGTGTGCGCCTGCAAATGGGTGTTTACGTGCCTGTGTGTGTGTGTGTGTGTGTGTGTGTGTGTGTGTGTGTGTGTGTTTGGTGCACTGGGTACCAGGAGACGCTGCGTGAGCGTGTGAGTGAGCGGCCAAGACAATGGCCCTGATTTAGGCCGGCTGGGCTGTGGGTGAGCATAAGGCCGAGCTGAAGCGTCCGTGGAACGCAACAGAGGAGGATGGGCATTATAGGCAGAATACAGTGAGGGGTCTGTGACAGAATGAGGAGAGGCAGGGGAAGGGTGGTGGCATGCACCAGGGCCTAAGAGTCAGGGAGGGCGGGGGGGGGGCTTGAGATAGGGTGTGTATGACAGAGGTCTTTTCTGCATCTGACAGAGCAGTGTTTGTTTCCTGTTTGGCTGAGGAATGTTGCTGTCCTGGGTGACAGGGGGGTATTATGTGCGCCTTATGTCACTACTGGGTGTCTTGAAGCTGCAACCAGAGCTGGCAAGTCAGACGGCACACTACCGACATGCGTGACGGTCACATCAGCCTTGATACAAGACCAAGAAACTTTCAGGCCAGTCTTCCTCCAAACTTCTGCCTTGAGTCGCTTTCAGATTGGTCCACCGACTCGGAGCTGTGAAAAACTTTCATAACTGAAGATTTCAATGTCTGCATAGGTACCCAGGATTTCAGTGTTTGCGCGACAGCTGGAGAGCTCTAGACAGGGACAGTTTGTGTTTGTGTGTCTCCCAGTTGGAGGATGAGCTCCGTGCAGACGGGGAGAGGCAGCGTGGCGAGCTTGTTCAGCTGTGCGAGGGCTCCGAGGGTTAAATCCTGCCGAGGCTTCTCTCTCTCTCACACACACACACACACACACGCACTGTGGCCGTGGGCTCTTTCTCTAACACACACAATGGGGCTAAGACGCCTGGGGTCGTGGCTGGGGCCACAGGCTCTCGGTTCTCACACTCTGAACCAGTACTTCATCTCTGCCGGGGACTCAGGCTCAGTCCCTGTTACGGCGCTCCGAGTGGCTGGCCGCTCCACTGCTCCGCCGCTTCTCAGTTTACCATCAGCATCTCTAGTCTTGAAATATGAAGATCCATGGAGGTATTTGAATTTTGCAGAACAGTGGTGTGAATTTTTGTGTGATTGCTGTAATCATTCCTAGACTTCCATTCGCGTTTTATTTTAGGTGAGAGGTTACATATTGGGTTTATTGGGTTCAGGACGTTTGCTTGCAAGGGTTTTCAATTTCATCTCTTTGTATCTCTGTCTGCCCCTTTTCAAAACCTTCTTCTTTTTTTTTTTTTATTTAATACATCCAAAGTTTTTCTTTACAGAAGTGTCTGTTGTTTCTTTCATCTTAATCAATTCTTTCCAACTGTAACAGCCTCCTTTTCCCCGTCTAAAATTAATCTCATGTCTTTCTTCCCGTTTCTTTCCAGTCCAGCTGCTGAAATCATCAGACCTTGGCCGTCATAGTCTACTCTATCTTAAGGAGATTGGCCATGGCTGGTTTGGCAAGGTAAAACATGTTCTTTTTGTACCTTTTGAATGTACGGTCAATACTCTAATGAAACCATCTTTGTGCTGGTTTGTACTGGCTTTAACTCTTTTAATTGAATTGTCTTACTGTGCTGACTCCGATGTGCAGTCTTCCTTTGTGTGGAATGCGGGTGTAATGTGATGATGATCTCATTCTAGCGAGGCAAATCTTTGGCACTTGTGTCACGGTGTTGATTCCATGGGCGATGAGTTAAAATTACAGACACAGTAAACAATTTTTTTTTGTCCGCTGCAGGTTGCTGTAAAGCCCTCTACATTTTCAACATCTTATTTTTCCTTGAAATCTCAAAAATGTTAACTGCATGTTGATGCTCCTTGACATTATATATTTAAATACCTGCGTTTGCTTTAACGTTTGGATCGTGCTCTCCCTCCTATGTGTACTTCACAGGTTTTGCTGGGCGAGGTCAATGCGGGTCTCAGCATCACCCAGGTGGTGGTAAAGGAGCTGAAGGCCAGTGCCAGTGTGCAGGATCAGATGCAGTTCCTGGAGGAGGTGCAGCCATACCGGTCAGTTTTTTTTTTTCTGAAACATCAGCGATCACAAGGCACAGCTCCTTAATCCCTAAGATCACACCCCATAGCAATAAGAAACATTAACGATAGATCTGATGTTTCTTTTATATGTAATGTATAATGAAACCTGTTTCCTCTGTCAGAACCCTTCAGCACCCTGCCCTCCTGCAGTGCCTGGCGCAATGCTCAGAGGTCACTCCTTATCTGCTGGTCATGGAGTTCTGTCCTCAGGTGAGAAAGGATCACACTCTGTGTATTCACATTCCGCCTCCACCTCATTATTCCCTCTCTTACTGTATTGTCTTGTTTAACAAAGAAGGTTGGATGAGCTCACAGCGTCATTTCCTCTTATCTCTCAGGGCGATCTGAAGAGCTACCTGCGCAGTTGTCGGCTGGCTGACTCCGAGACTCCTGACCCGTTGCTCCTCCAGAGAATGGCATGTGACATTGCCTCGGGGCTCCTGCATCTCCATAAATACAACTTTATTCACAGGTACAGCGAGTCAGTCGGCTCAGCTCTATTTTACCTTCATCAACATTAGAGACCTAACAGGGAAAAAAATCTACCGGAATGTTCTCAGCAACCCCTGCTGGTCTCTCCCGGCAACAACATCCTGGTGCTGCCTGAGTATTGTCACAAACTCCAGCATCAGTGATTTTGTTGCCGGGGGCGGGCCCCTCTCGCTCTGTCTCTCAGGCATGTGCTGGCTGCCATGGCAACCGAAATGTTGCTGCCTGGCAAAAACAATCTGTTTGTACAACTTCTGATATTATGTACAAGTTTCCTCATCTGCTTTAGATAATGCCTTGGCTCCACAGGATGAACACAATGCAGTGACTGACATCAGGTCACAAACACAATGTATTAAACAACACTGATGCACAAGTATGTCTCAAGAACACATCATGATACATTTATAAATACAGTTACATGATAACAATAACAGCTGCAAAAAATGACGAGTTGGTCACAAAAATATTGCCACTTTTTTAGTTTTTCTCAGTTATATTTAATATTTATGAGTAAATATGTACAATGGAAGTTAAGGCTTCAAACATGTACTCATGTTTTAATATATAAAGAGGATACTCTATAACAAGGGGCTGTTGTTTCTTCAAGTTTGTGTGAAGGTGACCTATTGTAAGAATCTGTGTATGATTCAAATGTTGCTAAATCATAACTACTGCATGAGATTATATGATCAGCTTTTTTAACAAACTAACCACTCCCACTTCAGACAAGTTGAAATGGCAGAGATGGATAAATATGAGAAGAAAATGTAAATGTTAATTATTTTTAAACTCTTCTAGTTATCGGATATGTCATTGTTAGTAGGTCAAGAACAGTGCTGTTAAGAAGCTAGTTTAGAACATTTCTTTCAAGGGCTCTTAAATATCATGAATGTATACCAGTGTGTCTCGGCTGTGTTCTATAGAAATGACAGTCTCCTTTGTTTCGACAGCGACCTGGCCTTGCGGAACTGCCTTTTAACTTCAGAAATGTCAGTGAAGATCGGAGACTACGGTCTTTCTCACAGCCGATACAAGGTCAGACTGGCCTATGATGTCTTCACTTTCAAATGAAAGGACCGCTTTTTTAAATGTATGACCTCTCTCAGTAGTCTTTTTTTGTTTCTTTTGTTTTTCTTTAGGACGACTATTTCATAACACAAGACCAGATTTGGGTGCCATTGCGATGGATTGCACCAGAGCTCATAGATGAGGTCCACGGAAACCTGCTGGTTGTTGACCAAACAAAATCCAGCAACATATGGTGAGATAATTAAAGCTGAGTAAGGTTTTCTGTCACAACTTCAACAACTACCAAGGTGCATGCAAAGTGAAAGGCTTGAAGAGGTCAAAAAGCTTGAGCAACACTTCGTCAGGGTCATTAGCAATGATGATGATAATAATTAATAATAATAATTAAAGCTACAGTATGTAAATTTATGTCATCAACATATTGATTACCATAAAACATTTTTGACCATTGCATGTCACTAGCAACATTACATTTAAATGTTCCTTTGAATAAATGTGAGTGGTCTATGTCTGTGAGCACCCTGCTTTGTAAATTTAATTTAACTTAGCAGGTTTGAATCAAACAACCAATCAGGGTTAGCTCACACATTGTTAGCCAATCACAGCAACTCTGTGAGGAGAATGTTTTGGGTTGCAGACAAGATGCAACAACAATGGTTGGCTGCATTCCATTAAAATGTTCATGTTGCTTCCACTTTAAAGAGATATAAACAGAAAAAAATGAAAGTCTGCTCTTACCTTGTTATACATTGCTGGAACATAAATTTGGATAATTTCAACAGCGTGACTATTCATTTCACAGCAGCAGCTGAAATAGATTCAGTTTCACTCATATCTAACATCATGATATATTTTCATGGGAATCTTATGAGATGGTAAAGTGGTGAATAATAAAGACGATTTCTCTGTTTGTTCCAGGTCGTTGGGAGTGACTTTGTGGGAGCTCTTTGAGCTGGGAAACCAGCCTTACAGACACTACTCTGACAGACAGGTGCTGACATATGCCGTGAAGGAACAGCAGCTCAAACTACCCAAATCCCAGCTGCAGTTCCCCCTGGCTGAGCGCTGGTGAGACATTTGCACGCCCACACACTGTACACACACATGCACTGGCTGACACTCACAATGACTGTTATATATCTTGACTCCACATAAGATACATTTTGGACATTTCTGAGCCTTCGGGCCTTGTTGTCGAGCAGTTACTTGTGACACGTCAATGTGTCCTGTTTTTTAAAATCGGTTTCTGCTTTTGATGGTGCAGCAGACCAGTCTAGCAATATTTCTCTCAGCTAGCAAGGGCAGATGATCAATACTTTCCCTCTTCTTTATGATCCCCTTGGCATTGACCAGGGTTGAATCACCTCATTCATCTTTGCCTGGGAAGGCAGCCAAATATAGTTTTATTTATTTATTTTTTCAAAATTGTTCCTCACTAAATTAAAAGCCCCTGCTATTAACAACAAGGAGCCACACAAACACACCAACATACACAAGGAGGATAGTGAGAATCTTACAACGTCAGCATCTGCATCACATATTTATATACTCTATTGGTCTTTGGATAGTGTCAAGAACAAGTGCTAGCTCTTGATAGAAAGCATCTATTAATATATAATTGGAATAAACGTGGATTACACATAAATCATGTAACCATCTATATATAGTATTTCAGTTAAAAATTAAAGATAAAGACAGATGCAATTACCAATCATTTTGTCCCAGCATATCAGTGCTCCAATGAGGGTAAGAGTGCTCTCAAAGTGTTAGAAGATTTTTTTCTTTGTACAAATCTCAGATAAGAAAAGTTTTGTTAATTTCAGAATCTTTGGCTTTTCATAACTCCTAAGAACGGTTGGTGAATGATGCCCATTGTTCTTAAGATGTAAATAAGCTCTTCTAAGATCAGTGATATTCAGAGGTTAGAAAAGGGATGCAATCTCTCTTAGAATTGTACTTATTCTGATTGATCCATCTCCTACTGTCATCTTGGTCCAGGTATGAGGTGATGCAGTTCTGCTGGCTGCAACCGGAGCTGAGACCCTGCAGTGAGGAGGTACACCTTCTGGTCACATACCTGTGTGCCAAAGGCTCCAGTGAGGCTGAGGAAGACTTTGAACAACGCTGGAACGCCTTAAGGCCCAACCTACTGGGTAGCACCTCACACACAGCCCCATCCACAGCCTTAGTCCTGACCCCTAGTCTTGCCTCAGCCGATGTCCCCGATGCAGACCAAACCCAGACAGTGGAGCCGGCCTCCTCTGCCTCGTCCTCCTTTCCCCTCCTGGAGCACTTCTCCGATAGCTTCCACTCCGACACAGGGGACGACCTGCTGACTGTCACAGAGACCAGCCATGGCCTCAACTTTGAGTACAAGTGGGAGCAGGCTAGAGCTGAGCAGCCATATTGCTCTTCCTATACCAGCGGGCCTCTGGGCCAGGGGAACCCACATTATCAGGATATCTACTATTCAAGTAAAGGTAGCACCTCAGGGGACTGCAAGACTGACAGCCTTACCTCAGGCAGATCCCCATCTTACTATGAACCTGAACACCCAGGTGTTGTCCCAGTGTTAAGCGCCCATAGTCCTTCAGTCACCAGTGAGTACTACATTCGCATAGAGGAACCAGTAGAGTGTAACATTAATCTAGATGACAGCGTGGTGGACTACAGCCCAGTAGTGGAGGCTAGCAGCAGCAGGTTGTGTTCTGACAGTCAGACTGGTTCTTCAATGGCAGAGTCCAGTGCTTACTGGTCAACTGCTGACATCACTAAACCTCCAGCGTATGATTCTGATTCAAGCCCCACTGTCCACCTCACCATGGAGCCATTGCTGAGACATGCATCCAGCAACAGTCCTATAAAGTTAGGGCACTTCCAAAACTGCTTCACATCCAATCAGGATGACCAGTCATCAGCATGCAAAACACGATGTCAATCCTGTCCGTCTGAACATGAAACATCGCCAGAGTCCAGATCAAACCTTCTCCATCCTGTAGGACTTCTAGAAAACCCACGTGGTTTATCCCAAGCAGTGAGCAGCCCAAGCTTAGGGTTCTGTGATCCCTACCTTGAAGCAAGCACAGGTCGTAGCACGGCTAACGAAAGCAACCATCATATAATGGGTCCTCTTCGAAAGACAGTACCCATCGTTAACCACATTAGCATTGATGTAGAGACAGACGACGGCATGCTGGTGGGCCACCAGAGGGGCGAAGACATTGAGGATGACCTTTACTCCGAGGGAGAGGCCACTAACTGGACCTCAAACCATTCAGCAAACAATAATAGCCTGGGTTTTGACAATAGACAAACTGTTAGTGGACATGACTGCTACTTAGACCTTCAATATTCAAACACAACTGAGTTATGGTCTTTAACCAAGGCCACTACCAAAACCTTCCAAAGCTCAAGATCTAGTGGCATGTTGGAGGACGAAGGAGGAGACTCTGATTGCAAAGCTGCTAGTAATTCCACTGAATTAGGTTCATACATTCACTTATGCCACAAAGAAAGGGATGAATCTGCCACTCAGATGGAAAGGAACAGTACAGCAGGGAATCATAGAAGTGTTGATTATTTTACCAGCTCAAGTATTAATACCAGAAGTACAGGGAATGGAACAACTGAAGAGAGTTATGAAAAAAGATTGCTGCTAAATTCAGACAGACTGTACTCTGAGCCTAAGATGATACCTGCGGCAAGCTATATAAAGTCCCCGTCATCTTTCAAGGAGCCCCAGACTGGACAAACGTGCGCCATGCCAGTTAAGCAGAGAGGTAACATCTGGGAGGGAGTTTCAACGGGAATCTCTATTGGCCTGGGTGACAAGAGGGAAAACTATCGAGATACATCAGAAAGAAGCAGAGCGGTTGACAGTGGACTAGGGGTCAGAGAGTCCAGCATTAGCCTGCTTGAGCTTGGCGACTACAGTGAGGACGAAGATGATGACATCACAGATATCACGTCAGGGATCTTTGCTGACTTCAACCTGGATTATGTTGAGATAGAGGAGGATGAGCTGAGCCCATTGAAGAATCTAAAAGGAACTCCTGACTCTGTTGACACCCTTAACCTATCCTCATCTATGGCAAGCACCTGCGATCAGGCCTTCAGCCCAGATGCTTTTAACACCCCTGTCCTACCTAAATCCTTGGACAGTGGCTACGACACAGAGAACAACGAATCACCAGAGTTCATCTTCAAAGAGCTCGGAGATCCTCTTGGTGGTGAAAGGCTGGGTGGAGAACCTGAACTAGTGCTTCAGATGGGTTTGGGCCAAGCGGTTTGCACTGCCACCTACATCTCAGAGCAACAGCATAAGGGCCTGACTGATAAAAACCCATACCGGGACTCAGCCTATTTCTCCGACTATGATGCTGAAAATGAGAGAAGTCCTCAAGACGAAGGCAGTAAGTTCTATGCAGATCCAACTGATCGAGACTTCCATGCTAAGAAATTAAGTTCTGTGGGAGATGATGAACCTGTCAAAAGGCAATTCTGCAATGAGGAACATCTAACACATCTGAGACAAATCAAAAGCTCTGTTTTGGTGGAACTTTCAGAGGCTCATCCTGGCTCACCAAATCCCATTACCACCCCTGGGCTGTCCATGCTGTCACCATTTCCCCCACAGATGGGCGGTTGCCTGACTAAAGAGTCCGCCCCTGCAGATGATGATCTTGGGTTGGAGCATTCAATAGAGGAGCCCACCACAGATCTTGGCTCTGAAGCCTCTTCCACTGTCCAAGAGGCATCTGGAAACCATGAAGAAGGAAACCGAAAGGAAGAAGATTGTTCCCCTGTACAGTCTTTGCATTCTGACTCCACCATCATCGACTACAGAGATGACTCCCATAAAGAAAACGATGGATCCACAGAGGAGGAAGATCTGCCCGAGTTCAATCACGTCAAGGAAGAGACGGCGGACCGAAGGGAGAGTGGGAGGATAAATGAGGAGGATTTCGAGGACATAGACGCAGAGGAATGTGACTCGCAGGACAGTATAGGCGAGGAATCAAACGGTGGTGCTGAACTCTCCACATCCTCCTCATTGCTGGAGCTGTGCGGAGAAGACGTGAGAGCTCCGCTGGAGGAGGCGGAGGACGAAGATGACTCAGATGACAGCGACTCAGATGAAGAGTTGAGGACCTACAACATCCAAGACGAAGACAGTGACGAAAGTGAGGAGGATTTTACCGCAGTGCCAGTGGTGGTGAGCGACTGCAGCAGGGCCAGACACCTCCGCAGCCTCCTGAAGATGCCCACCCTGCTCAGCCAGTCCTTCTGCGAAGAATTGGAGAGGAAGAAAAAAGCTGTGTCCTTTTTTGATGATGTCACAGTGTTTCTTTTTGATCAGGTATGACAAGTATATCTCAAAATGCAGAATGTGTTGTCTACCAACAGTCACATTATTTGAGTATGTGAGGAGTGTTTATGATTTTGTCTTCCAGGAGAGTCCCACAGGAGAGCTTGCCGACTACTCCTTCTCAACAGGAACAGAGGCCAGTGGGGAGGCAGTCTCGGAGGAAAAAAACTCTGACCAGCTGCAAACTGCCCCTGAGGTTAAAGCTGAATCCTGTGAAATCTTCTGTGTTTCTGAAGAAACGGGGGAGAGCAACTCAGTTGAAGGTTAGTTTAGAAAGAAAATAAAAGGCTTGATGGAGTTTCCAGTATATATTTTTCCCACTCTGTTCGCAATCATCACACTGTTATTTCCACCCTTCTTTTTCAGATGGGGGTTATGAGTGGGAAGATGACCTCTCGTTAAAGCCATCCTCACCTGAAACAATCTCTGAGCCTGAGTCCTCACCGTCACCCACCTCCAACAGTCCGGAGACTCCCAAACCTGCAGCTGTAGCACTCAACAGATTTATGGTGTCACGATTCTCTATCACACATGTGTCTGACCCACACATGGCCGCAGCTACAGGTCTGTAGTAACTTCAATTTAGACTGTTTAAATGTGACCTATTTGCTGCAGAAAATATGACCAACCATTCAACCAATATATTTTTGGTATTGTTTTAAGTACAACTGAAATATTATTGCATGGCTTCTATTTAGGATATGATACTATGGCATGTATACAGTGTATTTAATCTGTAAATTCCATGTTGTGCTTTTGGAAAAATGTCAGAAAACAAAGGACAGTTTGGAATTTAACATTTTAGCCACAAAGATCTTTGCAGTTATCTGTCATAGTACTTTAATTTATAAACAATGAACCTGTTTCAAAAAGGCAAATTAAATGTCATCATTTTAAAACATGTTTCAATAAAGCAGTGTTGCGCCATAGGCTAAACACAGGGTCGCAATGACTGAGTAGCCAAGTAGAGGCTTGTTACACAATTAATTGACTTACATTAGCTGCCTTGCTAAATTCTTCTTTTTATCTAATTAGGATACAAGGTTAACCCTGCACTCTAGCTTGTTAAACAGGCACAGATTTGCCAGGGAAAAAGTGCAGTTGTTATTGCTTTGGTGGAAAGACAGCTAATTAACCGGTCTGCTGTGGCACTTTAACAGCACTGTGAAATACATTTTCAGACCATGTATAGTAGATTGTGGTGGGATTTATTACTCCATAACACAACAACTGAAAACACAAAGTTTGGCTACTGCACATTTTTTGTATTATTTTTTCTCCTTGCCTGTTCTCTTTTTTTTTAACACATTTTGAAGATGCATTTGAATAACCTGGCATAATGTGACACTGAAATAAGAAATGACTCAGTGTGAATTCAGTAGGAGTTATTAGTTTACAATTTGGTGCTCATCTGCGCATTTGTTTTTCTGGACTATAGAACAGACTGTCATGTGCGAGAAAATGTGTTATATTCTTTAATTTGTACAGGGGCGTGTCCAAAAAGAAGGACAATATAACCCCCTTGAAATCGTGTTGGCCACCCAAGAATCCTTGACTATTATTGGCTTTTTGCTTACCAGAGTTGGGACTTATGTGGAAATTAAACATTTGTGCTGTGTTGCAACACGCATCTCATAGTTTTCAGGGTGCAGATGTTTGTTCTAAATTTTTTTAATACTTTAAATTGTGACTTTGGACACATTATTTTGAGCCCTCAAAGAAGTAAGCTTAGAAGATGTATATATTGCTGTTACATCTTGTATTACTTAAAAGTCAATGTGATTGGTGTAGACAGAAGGGGAAAATACATGCTCTTCCATCGTTTTGTGCACACAAACTTCAGGCCACCCCAGCAGTCAGTGCCCCAGTTGGGCCACCACAGTCCAAAAAGTCTGGAGATGCCCCTGCTTTTGTAGGCTGCATCTTAATACTTACTTTCCTGTTATTTATTTCCAACAGGAAACAGTGAAGGTGATCCAAAAGACTGAGTGCATCCCGACCTTGACTGGAAGAGGATGAGTCCCTTCTCGACACAGAAAAAGCAGCATTATTATTATTATATCTAGATGTTTTACAGAGTTTTATTTTTATCGACGTTTCAGGGGCATCGACCCTGGTGACCCTTAATGAGACAGTGCCTCACACTGTAGTGAAAGACCCTCAACGATTTGCACATTTTTCTTTTCCTTCTCCTGAACTTACACTGACAGCTGCTGGTATGGCAACCTGAATTAGAACAAAATAAGATCACATGGTTTGCAGAAATAGATTTATCATTATATCCGTTTTTTAACCTACAGTATATGACAATACACTTCTTTGCTGGACGCAACACCAGTTTCTGTTGGTGCCTTGCAAGGTTAATTTATTAGTGACTTTAAAATAAACTAAATGAACATAAAAAGAGAGTTAAAAAAATATATATTGAAATGACAGGCGTCATAGCTGCTCCTCTCATGCTGCCTTGGACCATCTGCTTACCATTGATCTAGCGTTTTAAAAGACTGTTTCAGTGTCAGAGCTAGAGAACAATGCTTGATGGTTGTTGCATAAGACATTGTTGGTGGATTTCCAAAAACAAAAAAATATGGCTCTTTTTTTGTTGTTGCAACTATATAATGAATATTGAACTCAGTGGATTCAGTGTGTCGTGTTAATGGAAACATCCTTCAGGAAATCAAGGTAGTTCCACTCACTAATTATCATCACCACTGACTCTGGTTAAAGATGACCTTTACGATACATGATCTCCAGCTACCATATCTATCTGAAGCACTTTGTATAGCCAACCTGGTTCTTTATTTGTATAAGTCATTACTTTGTTGCTCTACATCTCCCCATCCTGGAATGAAATATCCAAACAAAGTGAGATTCTCCTATTTGTGTCCACAGTGCCATCTACAGGTTCACTTTATTTTTGTGGCATATCACCTTTTTTCTTCATCAGCAATAGAATGACACCAAAGGGATGGAGAGGTGTTTCATGATATTTTCGGAAGTGTTATGCGAGTCATACATGTTGAATGTCAGCCTCATCTTTATAGATCTTTTCTATGTCAATGTATCGTCCATATTCTCACACGTAATGTATCCCATTAGATCTTTTTTTTTTTGCTCATTACTCGGGGTATGAGGTGTACAAAAAAAGACATTCAAAATATGACACATCTCACATATTGTACGAATGTTTTATCAACATGTAGCAGTTAGCTTGACTTGAATTACTACTGCTGCATGGACAGCTCCCTCCCCTCCCCCGCTCTCTGTGCTTCTGTAGCTCAAAGTGCCAATTCTGTTTCACCTTCTCACCTTGCCTTTTACGCTTTGCGAGAAGAGAAAACACGTCGCGAGTATTTTTGTACGATTTGGAAAAAGATGCAATCCAGGATGACGGCCTCTCAAATATGCCAAAGAGATATTTCAAAGCCGATTGGCTACAAAGTGGCGGACACATTTGGAGACGGTGAGGTGGGCGGGCTGTTCTGTGCACAAGTAGTAACAAACATTTGCTGTTTCCATGTCCCCCCCCCCCTCACTCGTTGCTATTGTACTATCCCAAACAAATAAAATCCAAATACTTTTTTTTCCCCTTTCGTGTCTGTGATGAATTTTCAATAAAAAACATTCAAACATGAAGCAACACGACACATAAAAGAATGATGTTTGTGCCCATTTAGATTTATTTTCGGACAAGATAATTTATAAGTACTTTCTGTACAGGACAGATATAATACAAACAGGGACAGAGGTGAGGGATAGACAATGAAAGCTATATAAAAGTAAAAAAAGCGCTTTTGAAACATGGCTTTATGATAAAATCCTGATCAAATCACTCAGCGTAAAGGACTCAACTCTTGGAGGAAAGAAAAAGAAGACATCTCATGATGCACCTGTTGATGTATTGCTTTCTAAGAGGCTACTTCGCTCGCTCATACAATTACATTGCTTTCCATGTCGTACAGCCTAACTGCCATCCCCACACGTCATGCTGCAGGTACACGCCTCCGCTCTAAGCCTCTCTCCCACACGAGTGTATAATACTGAGCAGGAATGATCAAAAGCCATGATAATACTGTACCTTACATGATAAGCTACCACTCCCTCAAAGCTACATATAAAAAGGCCCATTATGTATGCACTTTAACTCATCTCTTGGCTATCTGGCAGCTTAGATATTGCTGAAATTTAAAGAGAAAGAAATATTCTTGAAATTGCATTGTACTGAAGCTTGCTAAAGCAAAAAAAAAGACGAAATATTAAATTTACAAACACTAAAAAGGGATAACACCCTTGTTATTTTTTTTCAGAATATAAAAAATACAAGTGTGATGCATTATGCCCTCAAACCAGTTTACAGGATGATTAGGTCAATGCAGCTTATGAAGCATTATGAAAAAGAAAAGAAAAAGGAGAAGGCACAGTTCCCACATTGAAAATATGGGTGTACTGTATCACAACTAGTAACTATATAGTACTGTATCACTTAACAAAAGCAGAATCAGTTAGTCCACTTCTACGTAGCTATCTGTGGCAGTATCCTATAATTGATTTCTGCATCGCTCCTGATGCACTGCAAACTCTTACCCACCAGCTTTAAATCCACCCCTCAAACCCCATCTAAACATCGCATGCAGAGTGTTCCTGCACTGCTCATTAATGTCAAAAATGCTCTAATTTAATTTACAGTGTAAAGTGTTGGAAGAACAAAAAAACAAAACCATAGTAGAAGTGCAGATAAATGATAATGTGACAGCATCACTATTCAAACCTATGAGCCATACTGTTTCCACAACTGGTGCAAACTAACTAACAATAACAAAAGAAAAATAAGCTGTCACACTTGCACTTGAATGCTCAGGTTGAGACATTCAAAGTTTGTGAAGGTGGTTTTCAAAACATCATGACGGTTAACCCGAGTGGATTTCCTCAGCAAAGAAACTTGATTCCTTGGGGGGGGAGGGGGGGAATTTCCCTCCCCCCCCTCCTCGGTCACACTTCTGGGCCCTTTTCCTGATAACATCATTCAACTGAAGCATTCCTAATGTGAAAAATGTTGCTTCTCCCCATCAAAGAAAAAAAAAAAAAAAAGGCCCATTAGTGGACAAACCGGGGGAGGGCAGGCTGCTAGTAGAAGATGGGTGCAGATCGGTCGTCAATGAAGGTGGGCCTGAGGTAGACCTCCAAGGAACGGTCACTGTGGGGAGAGGAGGGGTGACACAAGGAACAGTGACAGTTAGGTTGAATACATGAGGAAATGTAGAGAGCTACTTGGCCGACTACGTTACCACACCCAAAGAAATCCTTCACCTTCCTATCGTTTTTTTTTTTCTTACAGTAAGAAGAGCAGAAAGGTTGCAGCATATACTGTGAGTTTTAGCAAGCATGTGCGGAGAAAACGCTAATAAAAAAACATGAACAGCTTCAAAAAAGGCACTCATGCATTGTTAGTGTCTCCCTTTGTGGATTGTTGTACACATGTGACAAAAAAAAAAGGTATTCTTTTGCTGCAACCTAAGGCCTGCTTGACTGACATATCTAAATGCTGCCATGTCCATAGAGGCCGAAGGAGAGAAAAGAAGCAAGTGATTCCCAGCGTCTTACTGCAGCCAGACAGCCAATGAGCGCAGAGAGAGAGAACCAGGCAGATATATAGAGAGAGGGAGGGGAAAAAAAGGGATTGGCTGGCTGAGATAGGTGATGGAGGCTGGTGACTTACGGAGGTCCTGTTCCCTCAGAACCGTGACAATTCTGGACCCAAACTGAAAGGTAAAGAGAACCTTTGGGTTTGAATGGCTCATCTCTCAGATCATGCATGGGTCACATTTAGATCAACAACACTGCTGGTTAGTCTGGTGCAAGATGAACATACTGCAAGTTTGATCATATAAAGGACTGTCACTGAGATGAGGGATGAGATAACACTTCATGCTCAACATGCTTAAACTGTATGCTCTTTTTTTAGGAACTGAGTGAGAAAAAGGGTGTCTGCAGCACACCCTAGTGGACATAAAGTATGCTTTAAAATGCAATGCAATCAACCACATATCATGTAACTGTAAATACAACCCAAAACACAAGCCAAACGAATAATCCTCAAATAAGGAAAAAAACAAGCAGGAAGGCAGAGTTTAGATCAGTCACAGTATGCACACGGTACACAACACCACCACACACTCACAGTCGTCTTTTTCCTTTCGGTGACACAGATCAGCACGGATGCTATGGGTGTTAGTAGGAGATGGGGAGTGGGGAGGGGGGAAAGGATGGGACTGCATGCTTGGACCACAGCTGTGGCTTGAAAAAGGAATTTAAAAAAAAGAACCTGTGGCGGCATGACATTGAATTTGAAGCAAGTCGAATGTACAACAACACAAATGCGTTTGTCAGTGACAGAACAGATTTCGCGTCAGACCAGACCAGTTTATTAATATATAGAGATATGTTTTATTCAGAATACCTTTGTAAAAAGTCACCATACATTCAAGGTCAATTTTTCAGTTATCACATTTTTTCTGGATTCCCTCCACAGCATGCATAAGATAAAACACTTCAACGAATCAGTAGTTTCTCATTGTTTCTGCAAATTTTTTTTTTCTCTTTACAAGGACAATAATAGTTTTCGAAAAGAAAAAAAAGACCAAAAAACTACATAGCCACTCAGGGAATACAATCATAAATAACACTGAGAGCTGCAAAAAAGCCGGGTTTTTTTTATTTTATTTTCTCCGTATAACCTCAAAAGGAATAAACAGCTGTTATTGAGGAAACCCAACAGAAGATAGAAGACCTCTCCAAACTCAACGCAACTTCAGTTAAAAAAAAAAAGACCAAAGTGAAGTTTCCATGAGGGAGGCGCTTTATTTTTAACCCATTAATATGGCAGTAAGTTCAGACTGCAGCTGGCGGTGGAAAGTTTAAATGAATGGTCGAATGAAAACATATTTTCCTTGTGATCATAATACAGTGCCATCTGGTCGACTGACGGAAACAATTTTAATATATAGATATATATATACTGTATATATTCTCGAAGCTCATTCTTAAAATGTGCTTCATTGCACACAAAGTATGCGTTAAATAGAAAGAAAAAAAAAGAAGCAAAGTAAGGCAAAATATGACACAAACCCTCTGGACGGAAAATTAAAATTAAGTTTAGCACTGACACAAGGAAGCACAGCGCCACCTACAGGATCTCTCAGAACAGAAACATTGTAATCTGCTGCATTTTGAAAAGCTCTTTTTTTTATTATTTTTTTTAGCATGTGTGTGGTGGGTGGGAACTCGATAATACTGCGCCCCCACGTGTGCTTTAAAAGGCCATTCAGCCAGTGGCTCGAGTACGACGACATTGAAGTCTTTTGGCACTTGTACAGTACATGAACATGTCCTTTAGTTTGACAAAATGACAAAACCATGTACATGCATGAAAGACAAGCAAGTAGCAAAGGCAGTCTCTTGAGAGATCAGTCCGTGATGGTGGACTGTGATCAGAGATAGAGTATTCAGAGTCCATAGCGCTGCATGCCGAGCAGGTAGGCCCCGCTCAGGCTCTCTCGCTCAACGCAATCCTCCACCCACCAACCGCTACTGTCCACACCGACACCACCAGCAGCAGCACCCAGGATTGGACGGAAGGAGGAAAGAAGGGACCCGGGGAGGAAGAGAGGACAGAAAGGAGGGATGAAACTGGCCTCTTCCACTCGGAGAAGGGGTGTGTGTGGAGGGCAGAGGAGGAGGAGAGGTGGAGATAAGTGGACAGGAGGGAGGCTAAGAGGAGGGGGGGAAAAGATGGGGTAGGAAGAGGCCCCTGTGCTATCCGGAGCTGTCTGTGTCTGTCTGAATGTCTGTTCTCACACAGTCGAAATCAATTTGCCATCAGGACTGTCACTGTGGAACAAAGAGAGAAGGAAGCTTGCCAGGTCGGACACACTCAGAGAGAAATGGAGAAAAGACAAGACAGGCACGAGGAGGCAGGGTGGAGTTTAGGAGACGCGTAGGTGGGGTCGAGTATCTACTTCGCCCCACCTACAGCTACATCTCCAAACACACCTGCCGTGATCAGGAAGATTGGACTTCTAATTCTCTCATCAACTTTTAGTATCAACAGACATTCCCCGGTTGGATGTTTTTTTGTTTTGTTTTTTTTTGCCCATATTTAGTTCATATCTGTCACTTCAAAGGAGACAAACCCTGAAGTTTACTGTTGATGAGAAAATCAAGTCATCTCCTTAGCTGGAGAGATGTAGTGTTAGATTAGTCTGTTGGGGGGTGAATACACCCTGCAGGACAGTGTTGTCTCAAAAATACTGATACAGAAAAAAACAGACAAGAGTACATAACACAGCTTGACACTGGTGCCCAAAGCCCCAGGCTGACAAGCACTGATGACTGAGATGAAGTCAGCATGAAGTCTACAATACAAGCACTCTCACACGATCAAGGCCACTTCATCACTCCTCACACGCTCTCTCAAACGCACACATTTATATACAGTTAAACAAGGATGTTCTCCCTGATTGGACAGAAACAGGCACAGCATCATTCCTAACCCTAGCCCTCACACAGCCCTGGTGAGTCAGCAAGGACTTGATGAGATTACAGTGAAAAGTTACGGGAGGGGCCAAGAGCACTCTGACAATACACTGACACACTAGACTGGATTGTTCATTTAAAAAAAGCTATAAATAAAAAAAAGTTAAGTGTGAAAGAGCAAAAAGGGAAGGACGAAGAAGACAAAAAAAACGGACCATCGATCTAGTGAGGAGGAGAATTTTAACACTAAGGCTAAATGTATTTCAGCTTAAATATGGTCCTCACAGGGTATAAAACTATTCATTAATTAAGTTATCAACACTATGAGGAGGTCTGATCTTGCTTATTAATTATTATATGTACAACTAGTCGGTCTAGTCTGGGATCGACATCACCATGTGGTGGATCTATATTTTAATTATGAACTATAGGTCGGGTAAAACAGGTGATTTTAGAGTGATTTAGAGAGTTGTCAATAACTGACATTTTTAAAGACAACACAATAAAAAAAACAGAAAACAGTAACATATACTCCTCATACATATTAATGTGAGTGCTTTAGAATCTATGTCGGACTGTGGTCTATCAAAGTGTCCTAATATCTTACATATACACTGTAAAAAAACAGTAATATATATATATTTTTTAAATTATTTTGCTGTCATTTTTTAAGAAAACAACATATGGTATCAGTTTGCTCTGAGAGAATTCAACCAAAATATGATTTGAAAAATGCATGTTAAAAATCCAAAGAGTAAAAAAAACTATAATGCAAAGAAGTCGTTCCTCTTTTTGTTTTCTGTGGCAGGATTTTCCTTGAGTGATCTACTTTTCATCCTGATGTAATGCACGGTTAATTAATTGCATATTTGTTAAAAGGAAGAATGTGCGACTTTTTGATCCAGTAGTTGTCGCCCCTGAGCAACAGCATTAAATCAAAACAAACAACCAGAGCTGTTTGGTGACACCTCGGCTATTCTGAAGCCTCCGCTCTCCTCCAGCAACACACCACCAACCCCTCTCCACTCCCATTCGCAGGAAAGAGATATCAATTAAAACGCAACATAATTAAGCACAATTAATGGCGAGCAGAGGACACAACTGTCCTTTGCTCGTGCTGCAATTGCCTGTGGTCTGCATTGTCGTGTTAACAGGCTAATGTTAGCACACTTTGGCTCACTTATAGGTTCACATTACTCATAAATTGACACGGAATGACTGAGACGTGACATCCAAATAAGCAGTGAGTGTGTTATTTTCCTTTCTCTAGTCCTGGACAAAAACAGCTTTATATGCAAGGCCGTCACGTCCATGTAAACATGATGTAAACACGGCCCTGCAACAGTACAGCTGGCAGGACTCTGGCTTCTCACTTGTCATGACTCAGAGAGACATTTACAGAGGATATACTTGATTTCTGATGTATTCGGTCAAATGTCGCACATTCTGACTTTTAGGGTGTATAAACAACACATTTATGTATAGGTCTACCTGGTTACTCCTACATACCCTAAACCTGCTTCCTGTAGATTGCTTATTAGGAACTTTATTTTCACTCAGTGCATGTTGAGCAGGTGCTTTGCTGTCTTTTTTAATTCCAGCATTCTGTCATTTTGGTGAAATTGTGTTATTCTGAGGTATGTGGCTCATTACTCCAAAACCACCCTAGTTAGACATTTCTAATGGAGCTGCAGCAGTCAACGCACTGTTCACTCAAAGGGCAGAAAATGCACTTACCTTGTGGCAAAGCGGCCGTCATAATCCTCAATAGCAGGCTGAAAAGGAGAAAAAAAAGGCACATTTTTAACTTTGTGTTCTTGTATACCTCGTATTGAAGTTCATGTTGTGCTCGTGCTCAACCACAAGGCGGCAGCAGAAACTGAGAAAACGTCTGTTTCAGTCACAGCAGGATTACTCATATCCTATTACATAACACAAGATTAAACCAGATAGGGGCCCCTCATTAACTTGTGTGGCTTGTTCATGGGTACTACATGTTTCCTACCTGTGTACCAAAGCCTGCCATGCTGTAGGGGCGTGGGCGGGTCTGTGCGAGGCTCTGTGCCAGCAGTCGGGCAGTCAGGCCGTAGTCAGGTGTGGGCAGTGATGCATCACTCTCCAATAAGTTTCCTGTGCTGCTACTTTTGCCATGGTGCAAGCTGGGAGGGTGAGAAAACAAAGGCCTACGTCTTAGGCTCATGCAGTTGATACACAAGTAATGACAGAAGAACACAACATACTTCACTTTGAGCTTCTCGTTATCGCTCTCAGGCAGCACGCGAGTGTAGGAGAAAGGAAACCAGCCACGCCTGAAAAAGGAGAAGGCCGTGTTAAGCTCCACATTCACCGTGGGAAACATGTATCCAGTCTGGAGTGTGGATTAAAAAAATAAAAAATAAACACTCACATCTTGTTTTTCTCATTCTCCCCATAGTGCCAGCCATCGCGGGCTTCAGGCACTAGCAGGGTGATGACATCTCCCTCAGAGAAGCTGAGAAGGGTGCCATTGTCACCCGCAGCATGGGAGAAGATGGCTTGGACACGGGCACGCCCGTTCTTTTCCAGGCCTGCTGCCATGGAACTGGATCTGGGCAGGGTCCGTGTTTCTCCTGAGGACACAGATAATAGTCAGTGACATTCGATTCAGATTATCAGAGCCTAAAACGCGATAGTTAACAGTGCGAACTATAGATAACATGTAGGGCTCTTTAGACAAAGTTAGTAGCCAGGCAGATGCTCTGAACTTAGCATTAACTGCTCCTGAGTACACTTTAAGATTAAATAACACGAGGGAGGTTGACACTCAATCAAATATTCTGTTTGTTATTTTCCTTCTGCAGCGCTACAGCAGCTCATTCAATTCTAGCGGTGTTGGGATAACTTACCCACAGGGTTCTTGTTCTTGGCGGGGGCAGGCCTGCGCACAGGGAGGGTGTTGGAGTAGACATCGCTAACCTGTCTCTGGGGGGCGGCCTGGGACTGTCCCGGGGCCTGGGTCTGAGGGGACGAAGGCCTGACTTGGGTCACGGACATAGTCCCTCCTCCCTCTGTCCAATATTCCTCCCCGTGGACTCCTGTTGTCCCATTGACCATGGACATACCATCAGGGCCCATCAGCCTCTGGAATACACACGCCCATAAAAGGAGTTGAAGTGTTATCAGTGAACATAGCTTCTTAGCCTGTGCAAACTACAGCACAGTGAAATATTCACTAAAGTTTTAGCGACCCATCACTTATTTCCTGAGCTCACCGCTTGGTGTCCGAGGCCGCTGCCCATGAACACAGCCAGCTCTGGGGGCACAGGGAGAGGCTGGGCCCCGGGGATGGGGTCTGAGATCACCAGATTTGACTTAGAGGTATGCAGGGGACTGGTTCCCCCGAGGGCGGCAGAACACATCTGCTGGGCCAGCAGCATGGCCCTCTCCGGCAGCTTGTTAGGGTCTGAGCATGCCTGTAGCCACACTGGGATCTTCTGGGTCAGAAGGTCTTTACCCTGAAGGGAGGAAGATGAGATTAGAGCTACGGACAAAAAACAAGAAGAACTAGTAATACCGCCCCTGGGTTGCTCGTCTCAGCCGACGAGACAAGATGTGGTTTACAACCACACGCGTTTCCAACAGCGTAACAGCGGATGAGTTTGTCAAAGAAAACATCAAACCTTAAAGAGAAAACAACAACACATGTAGACATAGATTTTATATTTATCTGAGGTGAGGATATAATACCAGAAAATGTCTTTTACCATTTCTCTATAATCCATTTAGAAAGTCTAATCAGTTAATCCTGGAGTCATAGTTACTGTTTGTGCCACACTTTGAAGATATTTCCAGCCTGTGTTCCTATAATTTGGAGTGCACAACCATAGGATAGGTGAGATGGCAAGAAGAGTGTTTTTACAGGATATTATGATGCAGCATATAAAGTGATGACTTTGCTTCTCCTATTAGTTAGTACTGTGAAATTGTGTTTAAAGAATGTTTGAACTTTAGAGATGTGTTTCCAAGAACATAGTGAACTACCTTTGACAATGAAAATATATACTGCTAATCTGTAGTATTGAGAGTTAAGCAGCAATCTCAGAGGCCATCCACTTTCATTTGACAACGTTATCTTTGCTGGGAGGGACTTCAATGTTTCAAGGCGTCCGTTTTAACCAGCGGTGAGCAATGACGGATGTTTAGCTAAGACTTCCATAACAATGTGGTGCCTTTTTCTTTATAGTCCCGACGAGGAACTTTAAAAGCAAACATGGAGCTCAAGTAAGAAAAAAAAGCCTGGAAAAGTGGATTATTAACTGCACTTTCATTGCTCTCAACAGTCAAGGGTTTACCCCTCCTCTCGCCCAATGAGAGCTGGGATCGGCTCAAGCCCCCCCCCCTGCAACCATCAACGGGAAAAAGCGGTATAGATAATGGATGGATAGGCTTGCATGCACGCTTCCAATTAACTCACTCTCCTTCTTCATAGTACACTTCTATGTTTTTATTTATTGTGTTGTGTGTTTGGATAAAGGAGGGGGTTGAGGGCAACATGCATTTTATTGCATTTCACTGTAAACTTTACCTTGGAATATATAAGACAAATACAGTGTTTAAATGAGATGTCAGTTCAAAGACATTCTTTAGAGCTAAAGTAAAGTGTATGAGTTCCAGAGTTGCATATCAGCTGATGGATCTCCACACTGACTTTTTTCCCGCCTGCTGAAACTCAACTGGGAGATGCTACTCGTGAAATAAAAACTAGAACCTTTCTGATACCAAGTGATGGTGCCACGCTGACAGATTCATCTTATTTTAATGCAGAATCCCAAAAAAATAATAATATGACAATATAAATAATCTAACAGAAATGTGACCAGAGAAAAAGCGGATTATTTCTTTGCTTAACATTCTTTTTCGTTTGCTGTTCTCAAATGAAACCTTTAGTTCTTGAAGGTTTTCCTCTCTTTGCATCCTTGACCTCTGCCCTCTGCACAGCTATGCTAACGTGCTGCGTGGGTGAGGCTGTGGGCCCCGGACAAACATACAACCGATCAGCCCACTTCAGCATCTCACTGCCTGTGGACTCGACTGTTCTTCTTTACACCAACTATATGAGGAATTCAATGGAGGAAGAGAAATGTATACGTGTGTGCGTATAAACAAACGTGTACGACATTACACATCTGCACACACATGCAAACACAAACTGCATGCATGGTCCCTTTGTCTGCAGTCATTTGCATTTTTTTTATTTTTCTCTCTCTAAGTATATACACACACACACACACACACACACACACACACAGATCTTGCACACAAACACACTGGGTACCCTCTGGGAGAGGGTTCTTCAGTTTGCTGAAGGTGAACTCTTCCCACGCACACCCCCATCCTGATTAATGACTAGACTCCATGTTGCAAAGGGAAGCTGCAGCACAGTCCACCCCCCACTCCTACCACACACACACACACACACACACACACACACACACACACACACACACACACACACACACACACACACAAGGAGACTGATGTACTCTATTACCTGAGAATATCAAATTCATGGGTAATGGATAGGCATACATTTGTTACACATCAGACACACAAAAGACGTAAACAAACACAAAGACCAAGCTAATAATTGGGGCATAATCCTGGTAAATAACACTCTACTACTGCCTTTGATGGTATATTATTTAGGGATATTTCTTTCTATTTTAATGTTACTTGCTTCAAATGTCAACAGCAAAGTGAGAATAATAAGCAGGTGTTATGAAAATTCTCCAGTTGCCGGTAAAACAATACGTCTGTTCAGACCTTTGATTCAATCCGTCTCTCTCTACATCCAGCGTTTTGACGCCTTCTCCAATTTATTGCTTTTATGCTGAGAGTGAGAAAACGAGGCAGTTCTCTTCACGAGAAGTTGGCCGGACGCTCAGAGGTACAATGATGGATTACAGTCTCATACACGCCTGTCAGCTGGGCATCGTCTTCAGTCTTAATGAATTTTTAAAATGAAGAGGCCCCTATGAGCGGTCAAAGCTAATGTGACTTTGAATTATATATATATCTCCTACTATCCTCTTTTGACTGAACAATGGTGTACAACAGTGAGATTCAAATCAAACATGACAGATGAGGAATAGTAGGCTAGAATCAACACCATAGCATGAAGAGAATACGTTATGGTTTATAAATCCCCCTAACAAGCTCTGCTGTATGCCTTTAAGAACAATACTGAAATCAGAGCACAACAGGCTGCTTCAAGTTGCTATTGCTTGATGATTGAGCTACTTATTCTGATTAGAATATCAGATCTGCCTCTATAAGGCGTTCTAAAAACATTATTTTCTCTATCATGATTTGCAATAAAGCCTCCATTAGATCTGAATGAAGCCAAAGTTTGAACAGGTCGGATTATTTCAGATGAAAAATGTACATGTTGTTCCTTCCTTCGTCAATGACTTTAAAGCTAGAGTCAGCAGCTGCTTCCTAAAAAAATGAATATAGATACAAAAGTAATGCAGCTCAGTCATCACTTAGGGGCCTCCGTACATGTGTGGCGGTGACTGACCCTGTCCTCTGCCTGATGTTTTATGTTGTTTTGGTTGACTCAACGTGGACTTCTATGGCTAAAGTTAATGTTAGCTTACTACAAGTACATTTAGCATGGAAGTGGTGAAGGCTTAAATTAAGTGTTTATGTCTTTGCTTATCAAATATGTTGTTTTATTTTGAAATATAGCCAATGTGCTCATGTTTTTCTTTTTTAAGTTCCTGGTGATGTTATGGGCTCCTGCAAACCTCGACCAAATCTCAAATACTTCATATCCTTAACTTGAAAGCAAATATTTTCAGCTATCTAGCAACACTTGGACTTACCTTGCCATGGTAGGCGCTGCTGTTCTTGGCCACGGCACACTGGCGGTCCACCAGGAAGCAGTACCTGCGACGCTCCTCAGACAAAGCTGTCTTGTATCCCTCAGCGATGAAGGAGTCCAGCTCAGTCTGCTTACTGCTGATGGTCTCCACAAACTGATGGGAAAACACAATGACAAATGGACTTCTTTTAACAACTGACACACACACTCTGTACGACACATTAGCTACAGAGGTCTATAGGAAATCCACAAAATGCTGCTGTTCCTTTTAAATGTGTTTTGCAGTGAGTGATATATTCTGTTTCTTATGCCAAACTTTGGCCGTTTAAAGCTGACATATCGAAATATAAGTTGTGGTTACAGGTGCACTGCAAGATTTTTATTGCTTTCTTGCTTTGGAAAAAATACCAAAAGCCACTATGGCTTGTCACAATACCAGAAATTTAAACTTTGATACAATTCCAGTAAAAAAAAAAAAATACAATATAGATACTTGTCTGGAAAGTCCTAGGCCTCCAATATGTGGAAATGTCTTGTTTTAAATGACCCCCGAAAAATACAGACAGACTCACACTGTCTATTGTACAAATACATGCTAACAAATTTGTGCAATTTAGACAGTACTCTCTCCCTTTCGCTCCCAGCTGTTTTGGTTCAAACTTTTTTTTTTTTTTTATAAAAGGTACCATGCATCACATTCACCAATTCATGAAGCCATACTTCTGTAAGAGCAAATAGTTGTAATAGCAATGGTAAATGGACTTGAGCTTGTATAGAGCTTTTCTAGTCTTCTGACTTTAACACTGCAGGTCACACCTACACATTCACACACTGATGGCAGAGGCTACTGTGTGAAGTGTGTATTAGAAGTAACTAATCCATTCATACACTTTCATATGCTACCGCAAAAGCAGTGGAAGCAACTTGGGGTAAAGTGTGTTGCTCAAGGATCGAATCCTAGACCTTCCAGTTGAGAGACGACGACTCAACCACTGAGCCACAGCCGCCAGCAATCACTGCACAGCTCCACTGGAACACTCAGTGGTTAAGTGCACCTTTGTGGTAAGAGTTCATCATACTCATAAGACAAATAGACCTGAAACAAGACATAACAGGTGTAGTAATGTGTGTTTAACAGGTACAGAAGAAAAGGAGCAGGGGGCATGTAGCTTTAGCATTATCACTTTGTCTTAGCACTAGCCTTCTAAAATCAGGAAATGCCAGAGTTCCCACTGTTCCCACAGTTCCTTGATGACACATAAACACACACACAATGGTCAGTAAGAGTAGTGAGAAGCTACAGGGAGTCTTATTTTGAAGAGGAAGTGGCATTCAGGGGGCCGTTGTGAGTGTGTGCCTACACATTGTATTCACAATCAGCACTGTCTGCAGGTCAGAAGCTGAAAGTTTGAGATGCTGTACTCATGAAGTAGGTCGACTTCATCCAGTTTCATGGCTTAAATACAGACACATCTGCTGATAAATACTGACCTAGATAAGAGAGTGTTATATTTACATCTAATGGTTTGATCCAAAGTGAACTTTTCTTTGGGGTATAGGCTTTGGGTTTGAGTTGTCTTATTGATGTGTTTCATGTATTAGACACATTTAACATGGCTATTAACAAATATGTTTTATTTTCACTTTCTTTTTCTCCAATTCCCCTCTTTCCAATGCTGTATTCATAAATCTACAGAACTCCTGATCATTTCCTGAAGTTTTCAGTGAGATACACATGAAATCTCCTGGACTCTGCTTCGCCCACCATCTAGGATATCTTGTAAAACATTACAGTCGCCTCATCCTTTATATGTCACGGATTGACATAAAAGACAAATACAAATTTCCCTGACATTTTCAGCACTACATGGTGAAAACATTTCTAGACTGCATTTAAGTTTAAGTGGATTACTGTGTTGTTTCTTGCCTTTCACTTTCCGCCAAATGAGAGGTGAAAAAAAAAAAGTCATAATCCGTGTTGTTGTCGTCAGAGCTGCGGTGTGACTAATAGTTCATCAAATGCAGTCCCAAAGCATCAGAGATTTTTCTAAAGTTTCACAATTAATCCCACACGGGCTAATGAAGTCTGTGAAGTTAGAGTTCCCGCCTTCAGCCAAATGGAAGTTCCTGTGGAGTGCAGATGCATTTCATTTAGCAACCACCAGAGCACACTACTTCCCTGCTGCCGACAGCTACAGGGTTTAGTTCATGGGAAGTATGGTGGTGGTGGGGGGGGGGGACATTTCAGGTTGGCTTAATGATAATGAGCACAAACATTTTGAGTTACTGGCTTTTTTGCATTAGCGCTGGAAGAGTTCCAACAACACCATCAGAGACGAGGTGTCAAATCATGCAGGAGACAGGATGAGGAGAGCCTGACATTATTCTGTTCTTTCTGTATATCTTAAACTCAAATTAGAGCACTTCGAAACCCGGCTCATTCTGTTGCTTTTCGAGGCACACGGTGTTACATGAAATGATTGAGGAAAATCACCTCCAACAAGGGAGAGCATTTACGCCTCTTGTCAAAATCCACATGGCCCAATTCTACCAGCATTCAAAAGGTCACCAAAGTAACCCAAGACAATGAGCGCAGTGGGAAAAGCCCGGGGAGACATCAACCTCTATTATATCTGAGCGACCTCAGGTTACATCACAGCTGGAATGACTTGTTTTGCAAAGGTTAGGAATATAAATGAAACCCGCTACACGTCAACGCAGGTCCGACTGAATTTACAATGACTACAAATCCCCTGATGCATCAGCCCAAACCTGCATTTTATCTTCATGCACTTTTTTTGGTCGTTGCACTGAACACTAATGGTTACAGTGATTAAACGCAGTGGGAATGGAGAGATTTACTCCGTCCCAAAAGCTATGCATACAAGAGGATTCACAACCAAAACGTTTCACTCCTCCCTGTGGGGATTCTAAAGCATCGTCTCGGCCATGCTCTTCTCTTCCTTCATCATGAGCACCCTCTTGCAAGCAAACAAACTGTACTGTGACGCTCCGGGGCACAACAGAAAGCGGCAACACAATACAGTACCCGCCTGAATCTGCTGCTGTGTTAGTATTTGTCAGTGTTTATCTGCTGCACTTGCACGTCAACATTATCTTTTCTTCCCGCATCTTTACGGATCAGCAGCTCAGTTTGGAATCTTCTTTCTTTTTTTTTTCAATTTTATGACTCCAAGCTAAAGAATCCCCTCAAGCTTATCTAACATCTTCTGGAGACATTCTGAACTCTCTTTCACCAGCTCTGCCCTGGCTCTTATTAAAACAGCCTACGTATATGCATTGCAAAAGGAGTTTATCTAGATGAAACCCACCCACCCACCCCCCCCCTCTCTGCGATACCTTAAGACTACTCCATTGAACTACATAATGAGCTGATTAGCATTTTGGCAGACGGAGGCTTCACCCAATGATGAGACGGCAAAATAAAAGTGTCCTTCTCTTACTCTGTCATTCCTCCTTCAGACAGAGGAGTGGGACGGAAAAAGAAAGTGAGGGAGACAGAGATGGGGATCAATGGAATTCAACAACCATCTGCGTCCACTGCCAGACTCCTCTCAGACATGCTTTACTTTTTAATGAAAAGGAGAGGAGATAAAGAAAAAAAAAGTTGGTGCTTCTCATCCATTAAAGTAACACAGATGTGGTGGAGGAGGATGAGGAGGAGGAGGAGGGAATGGCAGGCTCGACTTAGAGACTTTGTGCTTGTACTTGTACTTGCTGTTCCGCCTCTTATTGACCGTAGAAAGCCTTCTCCATCGGAAAAATCAAATCAAACACTCTGGGATGTCTGCAGAGGGTCACTTTCTAAGCCTCTCTAGATGGATGTTTGTCATTGTGAAGCACAGGTGTTGAAGTAGTGCAGGTCTCTCTCTCTGTGTGCGTGTCGTTGCCCTCCCAGGGGGAACTCCGGCACAAACGAGTTGACTTTTCCCTCGCACGCCCACAGCCCTGATGTGATCAGTGGAAGTGAGCAGGCTGGAAATGAGAAAGGGAGATTGATTTTCCTGCGTCCCTGCTAACCGTCTGTACCGTCATGAGTCCAGAGCCTGATGAGTTCGCTTCTCCGCACAGATGGGCAAAATTGATCCGTCATACGGACTCAGATCCACCTATTTAAATAGTTCCCTTACTTTTGCACACAAACTCCCAGAAACTGGCCGTAAAATAAAACAATCACGGTACTCAAATGATGAAAGGAGGAAGAACCCCTGACTTTTTTTCTCTTTAGTCTCCTTCATTCCAAACTTTAAATTTGAGCAAATAAGAAATCAAACTTGAAATTATGCTATGCCTTTGGTACCTCTTCTGGGAGCACGACTTGGATACGATTTAAAAACTGTAAATGAGATGTTTTGTGTTAATTAAGCAGCATTGCATATTTCATTAGATAAGCTGTTTTTATTTGTAATGCCCTTGTGTCCTTTAGTTACTGCCCTAAACAACATTTAAAAAGCTTTCATTTTGCAGCGCTTAACACCGCACAATATAGTCGAAGGAACATTTACAAGCTTAATGAGCACTACATGTGGAACTAGATCTGTACTTTTAGCCTTAATCAAACTTGATAATACTTTGCAAACATAGACTGTTAATATTAATGGACGAAGCCTGAATGTTGTCAGCCATCTGTTACTGCAGAGGACTTCAGAGGCTCATCGGCAGTAGCCGCCATGCTGGAAATCCTGTCTCAGCCTTTAACTTTCAGTCAACCTAGCGACCGGTTGAGAGGTGGAGCTGAGTTTTAAGCCTCTCGACGAACAGTTACATCGTGCCCGCCTGTCAATCAGGTCAGCTACGCGCGTAACTATGTATAACACGTATCGTATAAATAATAATATTAAAGTGTATCTGTGTGTAAATGTATTTACAAAGAGCAACAGACACCTACATTGTTGCACTATGTTACTAAGTTACATTTTATGGGATTTGCGACATGACTTTCAGCACAAATATCACCTAAGGACTCTGGTTTTAGTTTTAATTGGACAACTTTTTTGTATATTATTTCACAATAATGGGCAAAATATGCAAAGTCATTCCAAATTGTTATTTGTTTTTTGGAAGGCATATCGGGACCACCCTGTGAGTGCATTGTGACCCCCCAGAGGGTCCGAACGGCCACTTTCTGAACCACCAAAAAAATAACAGGCCTTAAATGACACCAAATACGCATTTAAATCTGCATTTTTTTATGAAATTTAATACACAAGTCATTTTATTTACTTTTTTAGACAAAGCTTTGCAGCAAAATGTGGTCCAATGAACAACGCAGGCCTCAAGGGCCTTGAATAGATATTTTTAAAAAAGCATGTTCATCCTTAATCAAAATTCATAACTCAATCTTTTTCAATTTTTGTAGAAAGTTTTAGTTGATTGGTGCTGACACATCCCGGCAATCCAGTTTCTGTTTACCAAATTATGCTCTATGATATAATGGAAACCTAACAGACACCTAATAATGCAGCACTTAAGGCAGTCAGACGGGGACGTGCTCCAACTCGCCATTTTCTGCTAAGATTTACTGGCTTTGTGCACAGAAACACCCCTCCCATCCTAAGCCATGCAACAAAAACACTACACTACACTGCTGCACACACACTGCCAGCTTTGAAACCTCTTGAATGACACTTCACATGTGACGACTCCTCATCGTGGTATCCCCGACACAGCGGAACAAACTCCACGTGTCACAGCCGTCACATCAATCCAGCAGTGACAGAAAGGAAGAGACAGATGTTTGTGCGTATGTGTGACTGTTCAGGTGATTTTTTTTTTGTAATCTGAGCTGAAAAAAAAAATGTTTTTTTCATTCCCAATGAACTCTAAAGATACAGCTACTGGTCCAGTTATCAACTTGATTCTGTCATGGTTCACATCAAGACCAACAGCAGCTCAGCAATTACCCTGCAAGCCTTGACCTGTTAGAGTTTCCTTTCCACACCCTGCAGGCGGCCTGACTTTCAGCTTCCATTGAAACCTTCGGGAAGGAATCAGCAGGCACACTATCGCCATTTTCTGCTGTGTCATTTTTTTTCTTCTTCTCAGTTTGACAGTAGCACTTGCTGGAGGACTAACCTAATAAAAAGTCTGTTTAAAAAAAAAAAAACACCACAGTGAAGGGCCTACAACAGGGGTTTAATTCAGAGATGGTGCTTCTGTGTCTACTTGGAAAAGAACACCGTCAGTGCTCCGCCTGTCATATCGAGTGAAGGTAAACTAAATGTGAAAGAAATCTAATTAAATGATGTCCAACACCATAAGTTAATTCCAGCTCATTATGTTACTTGAGCTGCTCCGTCTGAGGTCGCTCTGCTATGGAAACGATCGCACAAACACAATGCCAGCCAAAGCAAACGCTGCCTTGTTCCCTCAGAGGATCCTGTGACTGCTTGTTCGACACACAAACATGATGACAGGTTGTGAATATCAACCATCACACTCCTGGTGACTTAAACTCAATAAAACAGACCATACAGACCAGATCTGGATCGGAATCTAAACTTAGGAGGACATACTGGCTGCTGCATTGTTGTCAGAAAAGCCAGCACTTCAACACAGCATGTTTCCTTAATGTCTGATCATATAGTAAGGTCATTTTATGAATTAATTCAGTAGATATCTTACATAGTGCTCCTGAATGCTGCTTTCAGCTTTTATTTCAAATGTCTGTGTTTGAGGTCCATCACCAGACAACATATCTACTCTCTCTTAATAATGAGTCAGCTGTTTTTCTGGTGTACACACAAACTTTACTCACTCTGTCAAATCCCTGATAAAAGCCATGCGCTGAGACGATGGAGGAAGTGAATGTCCACTCCTCCAGTACATCAATCAGTGATGCCGACTTATTATCCTCCACACATGTGTCTATCCTCCTGCTGTATGTGTGTGTGTGTGAGTGTGTGTTTAGATGTACGAAAGCTTGGCAAAGGCTCACACTTCATAATCAAACCTCTTCTATTTGCCTTCCCACTCAGGGCACCTCGTCGCACTGCCTCCACCCCCATCCATCCTTGCTGTTTTGTGAGTTCTCTTTTACTTTATGAAGTCATTATATCGCACCAAGACTCATCACACTCCAGTCCAGTCACCCACATACAGGAAGGATCTGTTCAAACCAAGTACAGCAGTGCTCTGAAATGGCTTCAGACAAATAATTTAATGTCCTTCATCTTTTTTTTTTTCTCTCACGGTGTTTTGTCCTTTGTTCTTGCTTTACAGTACAACATCAAATGAAATGTCCTTTGGCCTACTTTGATGGTTGTTCATTATGTTCATTTCCAGGAGCAGGAAGTCATAGTTACCTGGCTTTGGGCAAATTAAGTAGCTCCAATCTCACCTGCATCTCCTTCTCGCCGTACTTGGAGGGGTTCTTGCTGCCCTGGCTCTTCCTGCGCAGCTTCTTCAGCTCGCCCTGGCACTTCTCCAGACTCTCCCCTTTATTCTTGTTTTCCATCTGGTATTTCTTCAGGGCAGCCTACGAGGGGCGACAGGCAGAGCACAAACACAAAATTAGGACAACTAATGAAGACACCTGGGTGGGTGAAAGAGGCACAGAGGTAAGGCACAAACTATCTTTTCAAAGTTTTTCATGCTAATTACTTCCTTACAAACAACTAATGAATTCAAATATTTTCAACACAGCATGACAAATTACCTTGCACTAACATGTTTTCACCAGGGCTGTTAAATAATAAATAATTACAATTTATTCACTATGAATCGCTAAATTTCAACAGTTAATCGCGATTAATCACGTTTGAAATTCCCATTAATTCACTCAAAAAGTAAAAATTGTTAGGTTTTTATTTTGAATTTGTATACTGTCTTAAGCTTAGACTATGTTACTTGCTGTTTGAATTCAACCCTGCTTTTATTTTGAAAAAAAGTAAGGACCATCTGGTAGATCAAAGGTATGAAAAAGGTCACAAAAGTGAAAAGTTTGATGTCATTGTGGATGTTGTTTTGGACTCATCAGAGATTCAGCAGTGTCATTCTTTTCCATCACTGTGACTACAGGGAGACAATGTGGACGTTTATCTACGACACGCACAAAGGCAAAAAACAGCATGCGATTAATCATGATTAAAAACACTTAAAGCATTCATTCTGACTTAAATTAATCAAAATTAACTACCTCATAATGAAATCCCTAAGTCTCACAAGTTTACGTTTTATATGAAGTTAAAGTCTGATATGATACAAGTTCTGGTTCAAAATCAAGACCTTATATAACCAGAGTTTTGTATTTATTCATTGATTTTTATCTATTTAGGTGCACACTTAAAGGGTCAGACTTGTTTCCATTACTTTAATGTCATTACAAGTAAACTAAAAATCTGCAAACATGTGTGCTTTTGTTTCTCGTAATTTCAGCATTACAGGATTCAAACATCATTTAAGATTTCCTAAAAACACTGAAAATTCTCTACGTCTGATAAAGCTTTTTTGTGCTATTTTCAATTAAATTGAAAATCAAAACATAAAAAAAAAAAAAAAAAAAAAGAAGAAGCTTGATTTCATTCTTATCATCCAAAAAAGGATTTCAAACCTAATTTATTTCACCCATTTTTGTGCAGCACAGCAGATGCAGGCAGGGACTGATTGGAGAACATCTCAATGGTGCATTTGAGAAAGACTCTGACATCTGAGAGCAATGTCGTGTTAGTCTAATTAAAGCGAAAAATCAACAGAATTCTTTGCAATTCTTCCTCTGATTATTTGTCTTCCAGGTTACACATCTGTTTAACTGTCTTCTATTTCCAATCTTGAGAAGAGATTTTGAAAGTGAAAAGAAAAGAACATGGTTGCATGCAAAATTTAAGCGCCTTCCCTTGTCCGTTCACTGCCAGATTTGATCTATTTATTCATTTAATTTGCTCTTAATTATTTATTTGTCGAGAGCAACAACTTTGTTTCCGGATTGTACCAGCTCTGTTGCTATAGTAACCATGTCCGGTGTGACAAAGCTTGTGTGGTTTCAGTATGAGGCTAAATTGGCAACAGAGCTCCTTCATGAGGGTTCACCACCCACATTTGCAGAAGACGACAAGGTTGCAGGTATCCTTTAGGTGCTGTTGAGCTGTAAAAAAAAAAAAGAGGCTGGAAAGAAGAGGCTGTTTGTTGTCACTGGAAGACGAGCAGGATGACACATGCTGTGTTTGGATTTCATAACAGAGATGAGTGGTGTTACAGTAATTTTGTGGGTCTGAGCTGGACTGGAAACAACTATAACCACACATCAATCACACGCTGGAATCTTACTTTTAAAGCGTATCCACTGTTGATTCTTTTTCAAAGTCAAGAGCGCCTCGGAAATATTATACTTGTCTGATAAGTTTCCACACAGAATGGAACAAAACATGCCTCTGCACTGATGTCTTTGAAACTCAACAACAATAAATGACTCATCCTTTAACTCCCATCTTGTCTTTGAGGTATAGCGAGTCGAACTGATATGGGCTGCTCCGTTACCCATATCTACAATTTAACTCCCTCCGTTTAATCCGCAGAGACTCCCCAGAGAAAAGTCCCCGGCGCATCGATCACACAGCGGAACAATTGTTATGTATTGTGAAAAAGTTTGGCTTTGGTTTGCGGGGTCACATTGTGTAAACAAGATAATATCTCTGGCATGTGCCTCACCGAGCTGGATTGTTCCTCCTAATTAACAAGGCAAAAAGCTTGTTGTCGCCAGCGCCAGCGCACAAATCTTAGTCCCTGGCCACTGCTGCAGACAGATAATTAAAGTGATTAAATCTGATTGATTGATCTGACTTAAAACTGAGAGGACATCAGATGAACTTTGGAATACTTGGAAAGTCTCACCATGGACACAAATGCTATTAATCGCTAATCTCCTCTGTTGGCTGTCAATGTATATTTCACACAGGGAGGGGCCAAAAGTAGACACAATCAGGCACAAATGCTCGAGGTAAAAGCACTGAATCGACTTCTTTACTCAATAAAAAGTACAGAATAAAAGACTCTGAAATGTACACTCTAAGAACCTCAGCAACAAAACTAACATCATTATTACTTTAAAAAAGATGTTCTTTACATCCTCATGGTACGCCAGATAAGCATGGTTTAAGAGCCACTCAGAAGGCAAAGGCCATCCATTAAAATCAGAAATGTACTGTATATACGCTCTTCCTCATGTTTCCGTCATTGTCGAACGTAAAAGTAAGCTAGGAAAGTCGCTGAAAGCTAACGTTAGCCTTGTCCTGAAAGAAGCTAATTGGTTCAAAAACTGTTTTTTTCCACTATAAAATGTGACCTGGTGTCTCTCTGGATTTGAAGTATTTATCATCTTTGTAGTTTAGGATCAATCAGTGATCAGTTAAACTATCTAATCTTGTCAGATTTGAGATGTTTAGGACGAACAAACTAGAACAAAGATGCTAGACACGGTGACTACATTTGAGCTCCCCCCCCCCGAGCATGATGTCTCAGAAAAATGCCCCCCCCTGTGATTAAAGTCTGTTATGCTTGTTATATTCCCATGACTACATACCATTTAGGGTTAAATCCATCTTGTTGTTGGGAAAGCAGCGCATAATGATGAGAAATTAACGTAATCTACTAATCCCCTTAAATTGCATTGCAGCTAAAGTATCGAGCCTGTTTTTCTCAAGCACTGTTCAAGTTTAGCAAGCGAGTTTTTGTACCTTGTTTATTCCTACCTCTGATTATTCATGCCCAAACTCTGACCTCTGTGTAATAAAGGAACAGTTGTAAAACCCCGGGGAACCCATTATATCAGACAAGAGACGGAGAGAGATGCAGACACAGAGAGAACACAGAGACACACACAGAGACACACACACACAGAGACACACACACACACACACACACAGAGACACACACACACACACACACACACACACACACACACACACACACACACACACACAGATCAAGTCTTAGAACCCAGCGAGCACCCCTCTGCGTCTTTTTGAACAAAGATACAAAATTTCAGATGATTAATTCACAAAATCCGAGGCAAAATGGCTGCTATTATCACTGCAGCGGATCTGAAGGGAACTCATTAAATGTAATAGATGTTAAAAACCTCAGAGATGCGTCGACAGCAGGGAAATGTCGGAAAATAGTTTATGTATCTTCATTTATGCCCGAAGCATTACATTTCCAAATCTGTATCTATATATCAGCTGGAAGAGGAAACACATTTAGAAGATGTGTACAGATTTTTCTTTTAGACCTGCCATGACAACATCTGATCCTACTGATAAGTCCCCTCTGTTTAATCTAGAGCCAAAAGTGTCATTTAATTTTAATGGAAATATTGCATTCAGTGTGTGTGTGTGTGTGTGTGTGTGTGTGAGAGATTCAGAAACTGTGCGCCACGGTAGCTTGTATCTTGTTCCCAACAACATTATAATACAATAATGGGAACGTTATCCCATCCCCCCCAAATCGACGCACAGCAGTGCTGCTCCACACTCAGCTTGCAACCCACTCATTCTAAAGATATCACATGTAGACCAGATCCACAGTGCTTACACACACACACACACACACACACTCGGAGAGAGGGTTTTTATCGTAATCAGTCACCCCCCTTTGACGGGTTAGTAGACACGAAATGTTATTTCAAAGCGGTTCTGTTCTTCCACAGTCACATCCTCTAATTGTCTCAGAGAAAGACTTTGATCCAGATGTTGAGACACATCTTCACCTCCATCTCTGTTATGTAAAAGCTGATGCAATGTAATAAAAAAAACACTACAATGAGACAAAAAGTGGTGTGTGTGTGTGTGTGTGTGTGTGTGTGTGTGTGTGCGTGTGTGTTTATTGGACCGATGGCTGTCCTTGGGCTTTTGGGGGAGAAAGAGCCAATCAGATACTCACAGTCAGATAACGGGCGTCCAGCTCCACCTTCTTCTCCAGCTCGGAGAGCAGCTCATTGTGGAACGATTTCAACTGAGGAGGAAGCATGGACACATATAGGGAAAACATGAACAAGAGTTATTGCACAAAATCCATAATGGATGCTGCTTGGTGTGGCATTTAAAGTCGAAGACGTCCACATTCACTTGGAGTATTCAATTGACCAATGATGTGTTATCTTCATTTACGCAGTTACTGAATAAATGTTTTACCAACAAATTCCTGGCATGTGAAGCCCCTCTCAGCTTGCTAATCACTGTCACAGATTCAGTGCAATAATATGACACAATAATCAGTCACTCGGTTGTAAATGTGATGCGTCTAAGGAAGAGAATACCAGAATAAAATACTCAATCTGCACTTTGCTGAGATTTACTTCCACTGCTGATAATAGGATTTTAACTGCCTAAAATATAACTGATTTTCCATTGTTTTCCTAAACAGCTTATAGGCATGCTAAAATACAGGATCGGTTTGGGTTCTTAGCAAGAAACTTCACAGACATGTTTTGGGGAGCTCTAAGACCTATTTAAACTTGTTGAAAAGGAGGCTAATACATGACCTTTAATGCAACAACTTCAACATGTATTTGAACGTGTTTAATAAGCATCATCCCAGCGAGCTCAAAAAGGATACATTGTACTTTAAATAATCTGAGATGGAGAAAATTATCTTTTGAATGAGCTTATTCAGCTCAAAGTGGTTCGAGCGTTTTCTTTTTGCAGACTGAGAACTTTGAATACTGCTCCAGATTTCTAAGATTAAACTCGTGCTGAGTTGCTAACACTGAAAGGATCAGCATGCAGAACAGAAGGGATTACATGGACAGTGAGTATGGGCGAAGGATTGATAAGACTTAAAACAACTACACAAGGACAGCCGGCTCCAGTTACCATCCACTTGATTGCACTCACACTAAACACTGTCATACAAGCACATTACCTATAATTCTTTACAACTCAATTAACTCCCGCGTCACCTTCCGTGTTGGCAGTTTGGATTTATACGCGCTCAGCAGGTCTGTTCGTTCAATAGGAGTCCATGTTCATTTAATTATAGTGGATTCCTTTCACTGCCCACAGAGGCTCTGCAGCTAACCGACAGATCTGTGTCAGATTTGTTGTGGAGCGTCATGTGACAAAGACACAAATTAAAATGTGCTATTGTTCTACAACATGCAGAAAAGCTGTAATCACTTCTCGCTAAAAGTGCTAAAAGAGGACAACCTGGGCGCTCTGTTGAAATGGGGCAGAGGCCATTCTACCTATTTTAAGTTATTGTGCTTCTAGATAGACTTTGAAACTACTATTTATAGTAAGGTGACAGTTATCTGTTGATTTAAATGTATCATTCATCGAAAATCTTTGCATGCATCTTTGTTTCGTATGCCCACTTTGTCTGACACCTACCCCCCTACTAGCAGTTCCAGGCATTAGAAATAACTATATGGAAATAGCCAATTTTCTCAGATATGATCTCATTTGTCCCTGTAGGTCATTAAAAGGCAACACAATCAAAATCAGTGTGTTTCATAACTAGTAAAAAATTCCTAATAGAAGCTTTAATATTTCAGTCATTCCTGTTGGACACTCATATTTATGTCTAATCTGTATTTACTTTTGTTGTTTTCTTTGTCAATTGTGTTTTAATCAATCATTTTCTATTTGCATAACCGTGTCAAGTTTTATATTTTTGATTCTACAAAAACTTTTCTTATAAAATAGAAAAATAAAGCAAAATATTAAAACATAATGATAAAATGTGATATGGCTGCTTATTGCCTTGTCTAAACTAATATAGCTGAAATATTAAAATGCTCCTCGTTTTTTTTGACAGAGCAGTAAAGTCAAACCACACAGCAAAAACAACAACCTTCAGCTCAGAATACCAACCATCTCCTCTAGCTGCACTTGGATCTGTCTGTGGACCTCAGCCATCTGGAACAGCACATCCCCTGCACAGAGAGAGAGAGAGAGAGAGAAAGGTGCATGAACAACACTCAACAGCACAATATCTCCTATAGCAAAGAGAAACAGAGAGGGGAGAGAAGTTAGGGGAGCAGAGATTAAAAGGAGGAAACAAGAGAGAAACAGAGACCCCCCCCCCCCCCCCGAACCCGGCGTGCAGAAGCTCATGCACAAGACACAAACATACAGGACAAGTGACTTATAACTAGGACAACGAAGAACATGATGAAAATTTCCTTTTTGGTACAAGATAACAGAAAAAAAAACAAGAGGAATGAAACAATGATGACAAGCACAAAAAAATGGAGGACACAAAATGCTTTAAATTATTTTTCTTCAGGCGTGTAAGTTTATGTCTCGTGGAGATCAAGCATACTGCCTTTCTTTGGTGAACCTGAATAAAGGCAATATATATAGAGAGAGAGAACTAAAAAAAAAAAAAAAAAACATACACCTAAAACATAAAGTAAAATAGTTTACAGTAAAGAGTAAAATAATTTTTTTCCACACAAAAAGGAAATAAAAAAAAAAGGATAAGGAGATAAGGTCATGCATCTAGTGAGTGTTTTATATTTTCATATATACCTACAGGCTGCCTCTTCTGAATGTGCAGTGCATTGTCAAGAAAAAGGAACACAAAGAGCTACGTTGAGCGAAGGACACAAATACATATAAAGACCTGGTGGAAAGACAAGTGTCAGAGCTGCATGTACAGAAAAATGAGACACACATACATACATTTTCATGACCAAATGGTCCAAAGCCCCCGAGCTTCATTTGTGCCAAATATTACTCATTTATAACTGTTGCCTGGTGAAAAGATGGATTCAGATTGTTTCATTACGGCTTGTATCGACTATAGTTTGTAACTCAGACAGGATACTACCATTAAATGTATATAAAGCACTATTTCTAAATGGAGGAGGAAGTACTTCTGGATATTCGTGACAGAGTATGAGGAGAACACTTGAGCAGAGAGTTTGTCCAAATGTTCCTCCTAACTCCGCACGCCTCCTGTTGTGTCCTCTTCTAAAGCTAACCTGTAAGTGAGAGTATAATATGAGAGTGTTTACACGTCACCTCAGTGAAATATAAGAGCTCGAGAAAAAAGTGGTTTCAGTGCAAACGTTTCAGCAAAAAGGGGCTTTGGAGTGGTCTCCGTCTCAGCAGACATCACGTACATTGCAAATTGCTACAGACAGATGACACTGAAGAGGCCGTGAAGGAGCTGTTTTTAATACTCCAAATGAAAAATAAAAAGGGGACATTAAAGCGGTGAAGCAGGCTTGGAGTGTAAAAGTGAGAAATGCAATATGTAATTATTTTTTCAGGAAAACATTTATTAAGAGGTGATTGAAAGGTTACACAGTTTGAAACTCTTTTCTTTCATGTATTTAATGCAGCATGCTGGAGAAGCAAATAGGAAGCAAATAGGGCTTTCACACTTGCAGAAAACTCCTGAAAAAAAAAAAAAAAAACTCAGGAGGAGCTTATGTGTATGTGTGAACACTAACAGCCACATTTTTCACTCAAACTTCACCCAGAGTTTCTCCTGCCCAAGATCTCTCTGAATGTAATTAAACGGCTGCATTACGTTTTCTGCTCGTCAGTATGTTGTTCACCGCTCTTGTGTTGACATTGTGATTCCACCAAACTATACGCAGCATTGATAGAAAGGCAAACATTCTCATTATAGCATCGCATAGAAGACTTTTTTTTGTGAAACTCCATTTTATTACTTTGAAATCATTGCAAAACATTACAATGTCATTGTGCCACATAGTGTTATTAGTTGATTTCTATTTTTGTCCCATTTTCCTCCCTCTTCACTCCAAGCTTCCTCGACCCCCCAAGGGCCCTCTGAAAAGCCACCGGGGAGGAAGACCCCCATTTAAAAAACAACAACACTGTTTTATATTTGGGGGGGCACAAACACGCCGACACAAACACTTGAAGGAATCTTGGTGTTCATGCATTACTTTTAAAGGAAAGGTATTCTTAAATGACTTTTTTCCCTGATTTCAGACTATCCACTATCCTATCTCTACAATAAAGGCACAAAAAGCCCAAAAAGAAAATCAAAAAAAAAAAAAAAAAAATTGCCTAGGGCCACCCCCCTAATATAATGGTAGGGGAAACACTGCATCATTTGTTCCTATAAAACATACTGTGTGTTCTTTGTTTGGAATACTATGACAAACATTTGTCATCAGTGCGGATGTCTCAGTTTGACAGGATGAAAACAGGATGCCAACTTGCAACACGTGTTCTGCAAGGTTTCAGAGAGCGCGATGCAGTTTTAAATCTTCTAAAAGACTCAATCTATCTCAGCCTTTCTTACCATTTAGTTTGCATCAACTACAGGTTTTGGACTAGTTCTTTAAGTACACACGTGTGAAGGTTATTGGTTATATCATGGATATAGTCCAGAGAGCAGATAAAACACAACGACTCTACTGAAGAACAGTAATCTAAATGATTGTATAATTAAATGAAAAATCCTCCAATCAGAACAAGTTATGAACTTTTAATATGTTGTCTTTAATCTTCTGTTCATAAACTGGCCTATACTTACTGTACAGGTGCCAATAGGAGTGAGTGGTTCACCAGTGCATCGTTAAATCTGCTTAGAGCTACATCATTCTGGTGTTATGAACCATAAATCAAAGGTTAATGTGCTGCTATCAAAAATATGTAAAAGGAGAAAATAGTAAATCAACAATAAACTACTCTCATACTCTGTATCTTCTGTTTTGTTTGTTTTGTTCTGATTTATGTTTGTTTTTATTGTCTGTAAAGCACATTGGCTTTAGGTTTGTACAAAAGGTCCTAACAAGTAAAACTGAAATGAATCACAACCACTCAAATTCTTTTTCAAACACCTTTCACTGACCTCACCACAAACATAAAAGTGGGGTGTCTCATAATAGACGAAGAAACAAATCAAAGAGCAGAAGAGGATTTTTTGTTCTTCTCCATTCTGCAGTCAATGCAGCCATTGCCCCTAAAGAAACTCCTGTATACCCATGACACTCGGGTCTTCTGTGCTGTGGTGCAACCTGCCCGCTAATGGTGTGTCTCACAGGATCCTAAAAGCGGGCCAAAGCGTCCTGTCAGTTCCCAGCAGGCCTGCTAAGCTGCTTACAGATACTCATCCCTGATCACAGCTCGTCAGGCTTAGAAACCCCGGCATTCTGTTGGCCGCTTCAACTAGCTGGATCAATTAACAAATGAGCAGCCATCAGTGTACCGCGGACTCTCACACACACACAGACAGACACACACATCATCTGGCAGTAGGACAAGGGGTTTGTACGAAGCCAGAGAGGTAAAGAATGAATGAAACTGCGCCGCTCTCATCTTGTCATCTGCAGTTTCATTACTGCACAATGGACGATGCCAAAGCGTAGAGAGAGAGAGAGAGAGAGAGAGAGAGAGAGAGAGAGAAAAAAAAAAAAAAAAAAAAATCACACTTCGGAGATGCAAATAGTTACCATGGCAACTTCATATCATATCACACAACAGCAGTAACAGAAAATTGGACTGCAGTCTTCAGGGGCAGCTAACGGCGGGGATTCAATCAAAAATCAATAAAGAGGCATAATGTGGAGAATTTTCAATGTGTTTGTGCAACGTTATTGTTTCGAACAGGAGATCTCTGGCAGCTGGCATGCCACAACCTGCGAGGTTTAGTGGAGGAGCTGTCAGCCCGACCAGGATATCCGCATACCAGCTAAAAGTGACATGACAGACACAGTGTCCACAGTGACACGTAGCCGCACACATGTGCATACACTCAAGCCTTTACTGTAAAGACTTGTTGTTACCAATATGACCGAGCTGGCTTTAGCCCCGCCTGTTTCCCTGACTGAGAGAAAACAATAGTTCCTTTGTGAGGAGGTGAGCTGAGGTTGATCTGCACCTGCAGCTCTGCAACAACAAGCAGCCACATGCCTGCTAACTTAAAGCACTGAGTCAGAGACATGGACACAGCACTACATGGACACGGACACACTGTCCCCCCCTGAAGTATGACATCAGCTTGTGTAGATTTATTGACTGCTTGTGTAACAGAAGCGATGATACACCCACACAGGTAGAGAGAAGAAGATGAAAAAAAACAAGAAAAAAAACACTGAATAACAGAATGTGGGCTACGGAGCAGGAAAAAAAAAAGTGAGAGTTTGCAATATTAAACAGAGAGAACAAGAGAGACAGAGATGGAGGGAGGGAATGGAGGTGGATGGAGAGACACTGAATCACTGGTGAAGGTCAAGCTGGATTCACTACGGGTTGTCATGGTAGCAGGATAATGCTAGGGTCGTTGCTATGGGAGAAGTTGCAAGATGAGGGTGCAGCGGCTGCAAAGTGTTGTGTTATGAAACACTGTTTCAAAAAGATCTCCACCCATTAGCATACACACTTCCCCTGGGGGAGGAAAGTGGAGTACTCCTCACCTGGGGGAGGGGGAGAGGGGGGGGGGGGGGTCTGTGTACAATGTGTGTATGTGCATGATGTAACAGTGTGTGACAGTACAGGGATGTTAATACCTGCCTACCTAGCATGCTAAGTCACAAGAGAAACAAACAAGTGGGCAAGCGTAATAATGGGGTTGCTGGATAATGTGCTAGACGTAGATAATAGCTGAGAGTCTGGGTGGCCATGTGTGTGTGTTTTATGTGTGCACATGTGTGAGTACACTCCCTTTAATCCAAAAGATAGGGAGGCCTTATGTGTGTTACTATCTCTCGCTCTCTCTCACACACACATCTAATTTTTTTAAGGAAATGGATTGAACTGGCCTCCCACTTTTCCCGTTTCTTCTCACTGGAGAAAACTATTGACATATATTTTACACGTTACCAAAATGAGGAGTTATGTCATCACAGCTGTTCAACCTACTAGCCCAATATAAGTTTGTACACTAACTAACGGTGTCATGCATTTAGGCCATAATGAAGACTTTACAGGAGAGATGAAAGCAAAG